CTGAATAATAAGCTTTAGTATGGAATAAGCCTGAGACTTAAAGGGGTTAACTGGCTTTTCGTGAGGTCGAGTACAATCGGAACATCATCCCGTCACTGAAAACGCACATTGATGCAAGGTGTAAACAGGCCCACTGTGTCCTAAACCACATTGACAAGTGACCTTAATGAAAACCTCAGTCCAAGTTGAGAGAAGTTTTGGAGATATATTTACGGCAAAGATTTGGGTGACTATTGACTTCTAGTGTGTATAAGCTACATTAGCCTTGTAGCTACAGCTCTACAGCTCAGAACTAATGTGTCCTAGTAAATGCATGTGCTTTCCTTTATTTACATGTATTTGCCTCAACCCAACTGAAAACACACCCATTTCACATTCTGTGTGCTGTAAACATATTGTGAAAGCCAGCAACTGTGGAAGACTTAAATAATTACAGTCAGGTGATCGTGTAATGATTGTGGCAGGCAGTACTGTATCTCAATATGCTATAAAAATGTTTTACTGAAATGCTGTAATACTTGCGTGACAGTGCTGAATAGATGAAGATTGCACAGAGCTGATTTGTATCTGTAGAATTTAATTAATCTATCTCATGTTCGGTTTTGAAAGCTTGATAGGTCAGTCTTTCTTCACTGGTTTATCGTGGTTGACAGACTGTCTTACCTCCAGCATTCCTCTTTCCTCCTGTCAGTTAAAGTCAGATAGTTCTGAATGCAGACATTGTCATACATTTCTGAGCTATTCATTTTGATTTGCGTTTCTCTGCGCATCAGCAACTCTGCCAGATGTGTGTCCCTGTCAGGGCTGCTTGTGATGAAACTGCAGACAGAGCTGAAATCTGCATGCTGCCGTAGGTCCAGGTGTAGTGAGGAAGGCTGTTCTGGGTGGGTCTGATTAAAGTAGCTTTCTCTGAGAGCAGAGATACAGATCCATGCAGTAATTTGTAAAATGCATCTAAAAGGTGCTGATTTAGCTGCGTTGACTTTGGAGTGATGAACTTGATTAGAGCTTTGTTTCTTGTTCAGAATCAAATTCTCAGGCACCATATAATATAGAATAATTTCCTGGGATAGTTGAATACTATTCATTCAAAACATCAGATATTACAACAGCAAATATAGTTCAAATACCATCTTAAAGTCCAAAGTTTTTTGTTTTTTTTTATTCAAAAAGGAAATGCAGCACTTTTGCAGTTAGCTGGCTCACATTATATACATCACAAGATCAGCAACAGATCAGCTGAAATGATTTAAATAAATCAGACAGTTAGCAATTGTGTATTAGGAGGGTAAATCATCTGATTCCGATTCTGGCCAATTCTGATCACCCCCGGTGTATTTTCATTGTTTATATTCCTCTACTGTGTAAGTAATTCCTTCAGTCAGGCACATGAATGTATTTCTGAATCATACCAAAATAAATCAAATTGAATCATGTTGAAGGAACCATTCACTAAAGAATTGTATTTAAATCAAATCATGCAAGGTTGGAGATTTACACGTCTACTGCAGAACAAATTGGCTGCATCCATTGAAAGCAGGCCGGGGCAGTATGGTCCAGTTTGGCCAGACCTTTAACAACACTCTGTAACAAAGCAAACCCCCCCCCCGCCAATTTCCTGCCCAATAGTGCCCCTCCTCATCCTTTCACTACCTCAGGGCTTGACACTAATCCTGTCTCTCAAATGTGAGAGGAGGTAGGTGTGTGTGTGTGTGTGTGTGTGTGTGAGCAGTGCTCTGAGCACCTGACTTCTCACTCACTGCAAGTTAATTAATTTTTTTGATTCATGATCTCATTGTGTCTCATTCAGTGAGTGACGTCTGGTTTTAGTGATGGGCACCTGGCTGGCTGGAGGGGTGGGAGGAGAGAGAGAATGATTTTTTTTCCACTCACTGTCTCTTATTAACTGCCGGATCTGCGTATAATGTGAATGAATACTGAGCACATCCACATCCCCCTCAAACGTCTGCCATAATTTGGTGCTTTTTGGTGTTTCTAAACCTGCCTTATACTCCTACTGATCTTTTTACCCACCATGTTCTCACATTTAACTTCATGTGTGTAAAACTGATCTAGGAATAATTAGAACTGCGTTATCTAGTGCGGCCTAGAGGAGCATGGTCTCAGTCGCTCAGTGTTGCAGGACCAGCGCATTTATCTCACATGTTGCAGCGATATTAGCTGAGCAGAACTCTCAGATCGTTAGGAACTGGTGAGTTAGTCCTGCTGAAGGTAAAGACTAAACATGGAGAAGCAGCGTTTAGCTACTATACTGCTCTTAACCCTTGTGTGGTGTTGATGTGTTTGTTACTCAGTGGTCTGCTGGACCCACCACATTATTGTTTTTTTTAAATCAGTATAGCCATAATAATTTATGTAAAAATACCAGAAAATATCACAGGTGTCCAGCGTAGAGTTCTCCTTTAGCAGCTGTAGCCAGTCAGCAGCCTGTCCATGTTGTCCACCCTCACACATACACACACAGACACACACACACTAACAGCAGGCCATGTGGGAGGAGAACAGAGTGAAGGACACAGCACCTCCACACTTTTATTCACCCAACACCACATGTGTAATATAATATATATATATATTTTCCTTTTGGTAAACATTGAAAATGGGTCCCACAGCCCTCAACATAACACAAGGGTTAAATGGAATAAGTTGACAGAGAACAGTAGAAGAGTCCTGACAGTGGACACTTTTAAATCCAGGCTCAAAACGTTCCTATTTGAGCAGCTTTTAGGTCAGTTTAAAACGCTGTTAGCATTTCTAGCCCTTCTCCTCTGTAATGTCAGTAATTACCTAATTTAATTTGTTATTTGATTTTTAATTGTCTTAATTTAATTTCTTAATTAATCTCCTTAATGATTTTCTCTTTTAAATCTATTGTTTAATGTTTTTATTACTATTCTCCTTTACTTTGTAAATGACTGTATTTCCTTGTTTGTAAAGCACTTTGTTAGTGAGTTTTTCCTGACACTGTCTCGCTTGGTGAAGCTCACTAAGGCTCTGCATCCTCATTTCTGTAACCGGTTTGGGTCTGTGTCTCTTGTAGAAAGCGTGTGCGAGTGAAAGAGGCGAGTGGAAAGGGATCACATCTGTCCGATCTGCTTCAGAAATTCTAAAATAGTGATCTCGAGTTTAAAGTTCATAATTAAAGTTACATCTTGGTTGTGCCATTTTAAATGCAATTGCACAGTCAGCCAGCTTATATATGTGCCATGTGCTTTTAGTTGGAGCATTTCAGGAAATTCCCTCGTTTGAAAATTCAACTCTGTATTCAGGAGCTGAAAGAACTTCAAACGGAGTTTAATATATGCTCTCGCTTCAGTGTTTTCCATTGCATACTTGAGGCTCGGCTGTTCTTGGGCACAGAGGGAATTTATGGGTTGTATTGGAAAAGAGAGAGAAAGAAGGGTGAATTCTTTAAATGTGTGGAAAAGTACCACTCTCTGGCCCACCTTTGGCATCCCTACCACCCACACCTTCCTTTCTCTCTCTCTCTCTTGCTCTCTCTCTCTCTGCAGTGAAAAGAGGGATTGTTCTTGTTGGTGTGCTGAGCTCTGTTGTACAACTGTGGAAAAGGGAGAGAAAAGGCTGGACAAGCAACCACCACTGGCTTCTGTTTGGAAATGGCCATTTGAAAAAGTACCAAGGTCTAACTCTGCTTTGCAGCTGGTGTGGGCAGCCTCAGCTGGCATTTAGCCCTCAGACAAGAGTGTTGGAATTCTCTTATCGCTTTTACGTGGGCTCAATTACTAGTATTGTGTCGTCAGATAGCTTCCCCTTTATCTCAGCCTTTTTTCGCAGCCGCCTCGGTCCTTGTTTTTGTTAACCTGACAGCACATGCCATGTGATGGATGGACCCAAGGCACACACATGTAGAGAGAGAGAGAGAAAGAGGTAGTCTCTTTGGGGGACGGCCTTTTCTCACAGCTTATTAAAGCAGATCTAGAGAAGCAAACATCCCTCCGTGCTGCAATTAGCTAAACTTAGCATCTGAGATATCCTTGATAAACAAAAACCAAGGACAGCTTTTTTCAAGACATAATAAAGGACTCCACTTTAGAGACATGATGGATCCGAGGCTGGGCCTGAGGGCATGTCAGTTTGTTGTTCCTTGAAAAGTGCTAACGTGTGAATATGCACCTTTGTGGCACCTCACTCTTGAGTTATGACTAAGGGCAAGGTTTATTTGCTAATCTTTAGGCCTTATTAGCTCAGAGTCTCCACACATTTTGCTGGAATGGCTGTGAGCAATGGGGAAGATTAGTAGCTAGCAAAGGTGTTGACAGTAAGCTAGCACCAGCCTAGCTTTTTGCTTATCCTAGCAAGAGCTAGAAACCGTGTTGATTAGCTGCTTCGGTGCACGCATAACCAGCTAGTGCTAACATGTGAAGCTGTTCTTTTACACTGACACCTTTTACAGCCTGTCTCTGAGGTGGTGTCCGTTTTACTCTATGTTCTGCCTTTGGTACAGACAAAGGATTTCTACTCTTGAATGTCAGCCATTCTGTTCTTCCTGTCTGTATAAATATAGCTTTTCATATGGAACAGAACCGGCATCTGTTCTGTGTGACCGGAGCTGCAGTCTTTGCTTGAACAGCCTGAAGGGTTTTGCCTGGTTGAACCTTGTGGTAAAGCAGGCCAGCAAAAGCGGTGCAGGCTGAAAGAGAGGCAGTGAGCTAATTAAAAGTTTTGAGAAGTATGGAGACATGTCTAACGTCACAAATATGAGAAGAATGCAAGGCTTTGTTTCTCTTTAGCACAGTAGAAAGACTACGGTATGATTATCTTTTCCTTTTTCTTGGCTTTGCTCTTCAGTTTAATCAAATATGTAATATTTCGCATGTGGGATATGCATATGCTGCTCATATTACCTGTCCATGTTGCATTCTATAGTACTGCAGCATGTTGTTTTGTTACTACATACAGTCATCAGTCATTTTAGTGTCAGTGCATTTTTAATTCTTTTTTCTTTCTCTTTTGCTCAGCTGGGACGATAGCAGTTCAGTCAGCAGTGGGGTCAGCGACGCTCTGGACGCAGATGAGCTCAACACCAGCTCGTCTCTCAACTCCTACGTCAACACCCCTTCTGCTCCACGCAGGGACATAGAGGAGCAGGTAAGTGAATGGACAGCTGGTACTGGACCAGAACTGCTCAGTCCACCAACACAGAGAGATGCACTATGTTATCATTTACACCTCAACCGTGTAATGAGCACTTTGTTATTAGGCTTAGTGTACCTTTCCCTGGGGATTGTGATCATCAATAGCTGTAGGCATGGCAACAGTGACTGGAAATGCATCTACATTAATGCTGTCACTGTAGAAATCAAACAAATTCTACTTTTAAAAATTAAAGACAATGGAACAGAACCAGCCAGACACTTGTGGTGAAAATAAGAAATGAGGCTTTACTTGAAAAGGGCTTTTTTCAATACTTGTAGTGAAAAGACAGGCGGTGGTCAAATCCAAAAAGGCCAGAATGCAGAAAAAGGTAAACATAACAAACAATATCAGGCAACCAGATCCAAAAGGGCAAAGTCAGAAAGTCCAAAAACACGGACAACAAACACAGAAGGTAATATACAGACAGAAACGCTCAGCAGCTCTATGGAGAGCAGCAATACTCACAATTATTCTATGCCTCTGCCTGGGCTAATATACTAAACTACAGCTAGTCGTATGACATACATCACAGGTGCAACAGGTTAGTATTCGATTAAGTAACACTTATTAGTCCCACAACAGGGAAATTTCACCTCCACATTTAACCCATCCGTGCAGTGAAACACCACATACACACTAGTGAGCGTACACACTAGGGGGCAGTGAGCACACTCGCCCGGAGCGGTGGGCAGCCCTATTCACGGCGCCCGGGGAGCAGTTGGGGGTTAGGTGCCTTGCTCAAGGGCAATTCAGTCACGTACTCGAATGAACTGGAGCGTTGATTGGTGGTACGTAGAAGTTCATGGGTCACGTGATCACCCAGAGAGTTCTGGGAAATGGAGTCTTTACAGATGTCAGAGCCGGGTGGATGTGTGACAGACGCTAAGCAGTATCCCTAACATGTTGGCAAAGGCAGAGTGTTGGTCAATTTATGATGACTAAGAAAACAAACTAACTAACTAAGTGCTTATAAACGTAATCAAGGGCATGTCAAAGTAGGCTAACTGTATTCACTCTTTATCTCTTCTAATGTTATGAGCAGATGACACGTCCTCAGAAAAATGGGTAAATCAGTTCATTTTAAGGATGTAATTCTGAATTCATTCAAGGATGGTGTCATTATCCGGTCTAAGATTCTGATATAATGCGCAGGAAAAATGGAAAATTATCATTGCTTCAGAGCGGTATTTTGGCCATAGTAGATGAACAGGCTGTGGCGGCAGGAAGCAGCGAGTCAAATTCACACATGTACAAAATACTAGTTTTTTATCCAGTCACCATAGCTGTCTTTACAGCTGTTGATGCTTAAAGTCCCTCATACCTGAGTAAGTTAATCAGTGTTATATTAGCACCTAAAAGTCTCATGTTACTGTTCTGTATTATTTTCAGACCACTTTAGGAGAAATTTAAAAGGAACGTTTGAATCAGTCCCTCTAGAGAAGCGGCTCCTGGAGGAACAGCAGCTAGTCCATGTTTTTTTTCCAGCTTTCACTGCACCTGAGCCACATCAACAGCGTTTGCACTAGAATACATCACAAACGTGGACTTATTGGGGTCCTCAAGTGCCTCAATTCTTTTTCTTCCTTTCTGCTAAGAGTTTCATTAGAATCATGTGCTCCCAATTTTTTCCTAAGACAGGCTTTAAACAGCATGGATTGATCATTAAAAACAGTGATTTAATGGTCGTGATTTTCTTGGCAAGAAATCTCCTTGTTTTCTGTATAATCTTTTTAAAAGTCACTTAATTTGATCTGCACTGATCTGTTTGTAATTACATATATTCTGAACCAGGCTTTGATCTGCCCAGTGCTGTTCTGGTGGTGGCTCAGCAGGGCTGTGGTGCAGCTCATTAGATTAAACGTTGGTGGGCTCTTATCAGTGGCTGTGTCTGCTCTACCCTGGCCTTCCTTTGTTAGCATTATTCAGCTAACTGGCTCACCCACCTTCTTTATGTGCTCTAGGCAGGTCAGCAAATGCTGGACGAATGGGTCAGTGTGCAGCCAAGCACAGTGTGTCTGTGTTCAGTTTCTGTTTGAGTCTATTAATTTCTACTCAGCACTGTGAAAATGATTTAATGTTTTAACTTAAAACAATAAGCAACAAGGTTGCCTTAAAATTTTGAGTTCATTGAACTTTTAATAGTAAGTTAACAGAACAATAATAAGTGTTACATTCTGTTCACTATTTCAGTGAACTCAAAACTTTAAGGCAACCAGGTTACTTACTTTTTTAAGTGAAAACACTGAATCATTTCCAATTGAAGTGGCAAGCCCATATGTTTAGCAGACCAGTTAGCAACATGTGCCTGACTCGCAATCACTTGACCCTGATTTGACAGAAAGAACTTAAACATTATCTTCAACAACTGGTCTGCATATCTGTTTGACTATGATAAGCTTCTGCTCCCGGTACAATGCATCTGTTACCATATAGTCGTCTGTTAGCGTATAGCCCTGACCCAGAAACAAAAATGCCAATAATTCATAGCTTCTCCGCTCATAAAACAGAGAGGAGGCAGGCATCTCCATGTTTCATTTGTTTTGATATTCCTGACAACACCAAGGGCCCAGATGTTTCTCCTTGTGCCAGAATATGATTTAAAACTCCAACACTGGAATAAAGTCATGAGCCAAAATAGCTGAAGCTCAAGCCAAAAATCTGTCATCCTTCACTGCCACGAGCGCAGAAACCCTGCATATCTCACACCTTTGGCCTCTCTATCACTCTCCGCCTCCCTACCACTCATTTTTGTTTGTTTGTTTGTTCGCTTCTTTCCTTTACCACATTTCTTTTTAATTATCTCTGCGAGGCTTTCAGCCTTTTGCATTCCCTCGTTCCTCCCACCCAACCAGACTTTGGATTTATTGGATGAGTGTTGAGATAACAGTGTTTTGGATTTGGCCTGATAACAACTGGAGGCCATTAAAATTCTTTCCCTGGCAATGATGTTTTATGAGTATTTTCAGTAGCAGTTGAACAATGACCTTCTCTGAAGCAGGATGATGTAATCTTGGCTTGGTCTGAAAAAGTGCTGGGATTTAGCAGCACTGTTTATTTGGGGAGCCATGTAAGGAGCCCAGGAGCCCCAGCTTTGCCCCATATCATCTGAATCCACAATGGCAGTGATCTTGTTGCTATATATGGGGTGCAAATTAGCCATCATTCCTAATATCCAGTTTGGAACATAATAAGGCATTTGCAGGGAGTTTTTCATGGTCTATGACTCATATCTAACATATGCTGATGCAGTGAATCAGTCCCTCACCTCCAGCCAACTGAGCTTTAAACCTTTGTTCAGTTGGCTGTTTGGGTGAGAAGTTTTCCTAGGATAGCTGGCGTAGGGAGCAGAGTTAAGATCACTAAAGTAATGTCTTGTTCTTTGTTATCAACCAGCTCCAGACGGATGCAGAGAAGCGCTCAGCTGTCGAGCGAAGTGCTGTCTGGACTAGCGACGACCTCAGGCGTCCAGACGGCTGCTCAGACCCTGGCATCAAGATGGACACCAAGTGGTGCAGTCCGACAGATTTCAGTGAGGAATCAGAACATGGTTTAACAAGTCGTAAAACCTCCACCATATCTCAGACGGGCTCCTGGAGGCGGGGCATGACTGCCCAGGTGGGCTTCACCTGTCCACGGACTAAGGCTCCAACCCCAACTAACTGCAGCTCACTGAAAGCTCTTGCTAATGGTACGTAATAATGAAAACAGAGCAAAATTATAGTGAAAACCATTGTTTAATTCTAATTGTGTCTCCACATTGCCCTACACATTGCACTGTTTGCCTCTCGAACCCTTGGAACATTTAGCTCTTAATTTTAAGACTTATTCAGTAACTTCTATGAACTATTCTGTAACTACAGAAGTAATATAGGTTTTGTAATTATGAGAGTGAGCAGTTGAATTCCAGACCCATATATGGGCCAAACGATAAAGATGTTAAATCGACATCTTGAATCCAACTTCCAGTCTTGTGATTTTGTAATGACTGCACTCCTAAAAATTATGGTTTTCAAGAGTCCTTTAATAAAGAAAATGGTTCTATGTGGAACCATAAACACTCAAAGAGCCCTTTGCATGATCAAAGCGTTCTTTGCATCATTAAGTGTTTCTTCAGATTGATTGAGAATGTGCTGTAGATGGTTCCAAACCCTTTGAAAAGGGTTCTATATAGCACCAAAAGGTTGCAAGCTTCACATTGTAACAATAGAAAAGCACTTTTTGGTGCTATATAGAACCCTTTTCAAAAAGGTTCTATATAGAACTACTACAGCACATTCTTCATCAATCTGAAGAACGCCTTCATGATGCAAAGAACCCTTTAATCATGCAGAGCGTTCTTTGTTTGTTTACTAAAGATCCCCTGAAGAACCACCTTTTTTGAAGGATGTAGCCTATAACAAAAAAAGAACCCTTTTGGTGCTGTATAGAACCCTTTTCAAAAAGGATCTATTACGACCATATACAACACATTCTCCATTAATCTGAAGAACGCTTTCACGATGCAAAGAAACCTTAGTCATGCACAGGGTTCTTTGTGTGCTCACTGTACAATATAGAACCATTTTCTTTACTAAAGAACCCTTGAAGAACCATCTTTTTAAAGAGTGTAACCTGTAACAATAGAAGAACCCTTTTTGATGCTATATAGAACCCTTTTTCAAAAAGGATCTATATAGAACTACTACAGCACGTTCATCATCAATCTGAAGAACTCTTTCACCATGCAAAGGACGCTTTAATCATGCAGAGGGTTCTTCGAGTGTTGATGGTTCCATATAGAACCGTTTCCTTTACTAAAGAGCTTACACGTGTGGAAGGTATGTCACTAGGTGGCCAAACAGTTACATGAGCAGTTCAGTTTACAAAATGCAGGACTGGAAAGTGGATTCAGAGTTTGGATTTGAAGACGTTTGACCTGGGAGTTGATTTCCTTGACATATATTAGAATTGTAAATTATAATCACTGACTATTTAGTCCAGGCAAGAAATAGACTAGGGGTTTGCTGAGAGACCACCAAGCAATTACAAGTCTCATTTTTTTGTTCGGTTGCTTGCTTGGAGTAAAGTAAGGAGGTGTCTGCAGTGATATGCATCTGATCAGATTCTGTAATCCTTATATTGTCTAACGTTTGGCGGTTTAAGCTTATGTACAGTACATTTTTCAGTGTCAGTGGAGTGTAAGGTCTGTGGGTTAGGGCATGTACCGACTGTGCTCATGCTACTGTATTCAGGGCTGTGGAAAGGGGGGGTCTCGCCTGACGGCTGATAGCTCTTGGCCTTTATCTCCTTGCAGGCAAAACAGACGACGCCAAAGTGTCGGAGAAAGGTCGCTTCTCTCCACGGCCCAACGGCCTCCCGCGCTCCCCCTCTGAACGACTGATATCTACTGATGAGGGCAAGAAGCCACCCTCCAGCTCCACTGCTCGTGCTCCCACTAACACTTTTGGCTTTAAGAAGACCTCCAGCGGCACTGCCACAGTAACCGCCAGCGGTGTCACAATAACTAGTGGCTCTGCTACTCTAGGGAAACTCCCCAAGTCCTCAGGTTTCACTGGAACTCGTCTAATTGGTCGGCAGACCAGTATAGATGACGGATACGTTCTTCCTAGTGCTCGGAACACCCTCCAGTACCGGAGTCTACCCAGGCCTAGTCGTGCCAGCAGCAGCGTGGGCACAGCCCGCGGTACCAGTCGCGCCACAGCCGCAGGTATTGATGCTAGCCTTATCAGCAAGGGTACTGCCACTCTGCCCAACCCAAAGACCCGCAGCTCAGTCCGATCCCCGACGGGCACCTCCAACCAGACGGACCGGGAGAAGGGTGTGCTGTCAGACACGGAGAGCTTGGCATCAGGGCTGGCACACAAAGCCAGTGGCAGCAGTCAGATGGGCATGGCTGGGCAGTGCCAGCCTGGTAGACAAGTGGGAGGGAAGTACCCGGATATGTCATCCCCTACTTTACGCAGGTGAGACTGCTTTAACCAGAGTGCTGATCCACCTCCTCCTGTAACTCGTAATAGAGACACACCTAAAGGGGAAGTTTGTATATTCACTCACAGGTATTTACCTGAGAATAGAAAGAAATGAAAATAAGAAGGTCTCTCTCCAGACTTGTACTACTTTGGAGTGTAAGGAAAACTTTTGGAACGCAATGGAGCATCACTTCTAAACAAGTGTAAATCTCTGAAGATTTTGATTAATTATAGTTCTTTAGGAACCGATTCAGTGGATCAAAAAATCCCAATTTTGATTTATGCATTTGACTTAGTTTGATTACTGTGATACCATTTAGAATTGCTTTTAAAAGTACACTGAATACACAAATGTGACTGGAGGAACTATCTGCACTGCAGAGTACAGACAGTTAAAACTGTATTCCAGGGCATTACATATTTTGTTGATTTTCTAAGTGAAAATATGTTATAAACATTAAACAATAAACATTAAAAAAAAATAAATATGGCATTTTTCTATAAATTTTTGGTTTAAAATCTACAGTAACTTACTGTACAGTAACTAACTGCACAGGCTACATTTGATGTATCGTTATTGATGCTGGTATCGCCCCAATACCTTGCTCATTTACTTGCACTCGGGCTCGTAAAAAAATCCTCGATAACAGCATCTGATACTGCTTGATACCATGTGACGTAAGTCATTAATGAACAAATGACTCAATCTGGAAATTAAAGAGGGTCTGCTCGCACAGTGAAGTGTTGCTAATGCCATGGCAGTTGGGCGTGAAGACGCAGTCACTTTAAACATTCCAACTTGGCGCATTCCCACCAGGCACACATTGAACAATTTTAGCCTGTTTTAAAGCACATACAAACACAATCACAACTTCCACAATACAGATGGACACACGTAGGCTAGCAAAATGGAGGCAAAAAAGTCGACACATGAAGTACTAAAGTCCATACATGTGAGTTTAATCTTTTTAACCCCAAAATGGCCAGGGCCTACCAGGGGGCCAAAGTTTTGTTACACACTTCTATTACCTAAGAATAGCTCAGCCAGTTTGCTTTAAAGTCCCTGTAGTTACTGAATAATAATTATTAGTATAAAATTAGTCTAAGATTTTAAAGGGTTTCTGAATAGAATTGTGATATATAAACATTAATATGTTGTTTTTTGAAAATTGTCTTGGCAAAATAGGCTGTTGAGAGATCACATTGTCCTACCGTGTACATCACTGCGTACATCACAAGTTAGCTATGAAAGGTGTCACAGTTTCTCAGCATGTTTGCTCAGTACTTGGATGTGCAGCGTGTTATTTGGAATTAAACAGCTTTATTGATAATTGTCCATAGACAGTCTAAAAAGATTTCTAAATCACACAGTTTATACCTAGCATTAGAGGATACTCAGCTTTGGCTCAGAAACATAGGATCAAAACTATGAAATGTACTTTACTTACAGCTGAACAGAAATGCTTTTCTGACATGGAACGAAACCCACTCTTCTCCACTCCAACGCTATTCGACCCAAGATAACTAATGTAACATAGCTAATCAATGCTAATAAAAACAGAAAGCAGTGATAAGTAAATCCTGTTTGACCTGTATTAAATTGAAAAATGTACAGAAACATAAAATGTGGTTTTACCTTATGAATGTTATTGTCTTTATAATATTTATAATATTTGTAAATATGTTCATTTTCCAAATTTGATGCCAGCAACATGTTCCAAAAAAGTTGGGTTGGGAGCCCGTTTATCACTGTGTTACATCACTTTTCCTTTTAACAGCGCTTAATAATCGTTTGGGGACTGACGACACCAACTGATCCAGTTTTTAAAGCGGAATTTTTGCCACTCTTCTGTTAGACAGAGCTTAATAATGCAACACATTTTTATGGGAGATGCTGTTGTAGCACGTACAGATTGTGGCATGTTCTTGTCATGTTGAAATAAGCATGGGGGGAGTCCCTGAAAAAGACGTTGTCTAGAAGGCACCTTATGTTGCTCCAAGATGTGTTCAGCGTTAATGTTGCTTTCACAGATGTGCAAGCTACCCACTAATACCTCCCCATATGATGACAGACCCTGGCTTTTAAACTGTACATTGGTTTTCTTTTTTGGGTCAGAGAAGACAATGTCCATTATTTCCATGAACAATCTGGAAGATCCACTCATCAGACCGCGATACATATTTCCACTGTGCATCAGTCCATTTTAGATGAGCTCAGGCCCAGAGAAGTGGGCAGTGTTTCTAGACATTGCTAATATATGACTTCACTGTGTGTAGTATGATCTTAACTCACATTTCTGGAGGCAGCAATGACTGTGTTTATTGACAACAGTTTGTCAAAGTATTCTTGAGCCCACACGATGATATCCATCACAGAAAAATGTCTTTTTTAATGCAGTGCCATCTGAGAGGTCAAAGATCACAGATATTCAGTTGTGTTTTTGGCCTTTTCCTTTATGCACAGAGGTTTCTCTGGATTTCCTGAATTATATGATGTTATTAGGCACTGTAGAAGGTGAAATACCTGAAATCCTTGCAATCCTTGGCTGAGGAACCTGTTCTGTTGTTGGTGATGCATTTTTGACAAAGTGGTGAGCTCGACCCATTCTCACTCATAAGGACTCAACCTTTCTTGCATGCTCCTTTTATACTTAACCATGATTGTAGCACCCGTTTAAGATCTTTCTTAAACATTTCACAACATTCCTAGTCTTAAATCGCTCCTGTCCTGACCTTTTTGTAATGTGCTGCAGGCATCACTTTTAGAATGTATGTATATTTACAAAAAACAGTGAAGTTGATAAGATAAAACATTAAATATCTTGTCTTTACACTGTTTTTGTTAAAAAAAAACAGGTAGAAGTTGATTTATAAATCATTGCTTTCTGTTTTATTTGCATTTTACCCACTGGTTAATAAGAATTGTCCTAATGCAGTTCTGAAGGATCGAGGTGCCACACAGTTCATCATATTCTTTCCTAAATCACACTTGATTGAGTTCAAAAGGCCTTCAACAGTTGATAAGCTTTGTAATGCGTATTAAAACAACTGAAACAGTAAACTGTCCGATGCTGGTGCCCTTAGGGCTCCTGATTAGTGCTATTCACCAGTTTATATCAGATCTTTTAGCAACTCTTTATTAAACGGAACCTTTCATAATGGCTCATTCGATAAACATAAAGCAGTTTTGTACGTGAATCACACCAAGAGTTCTGCAGCATTCTGCTGTGGCGTTGGAGCATGTTCAGAAAGAACCACATTTCTTACTTAGTGGTTTGACGTCAGTTGCTTTGGTCCAAAGACTTTAAAGTCTCATGAGATCACAGATCCTTAAAGTTGCCAGTGCTATAGCCCAACACCACTAAACTATTACACTAAATGAAACAGATGAAAGACTGATCAGATCAAACAAATGCCAGGCAAAATGAATCCAAATGAACTGCTGTGAATTTACCAAAGCCAAGTGATTACCAATCACGCCAACCTAAAGTCAAATCTTGTTATATTTGTTAGGTCTGTGTGGAGGGGCTAAGAGTAAGGGCCCAGTGTGCGTATTGGCACTGAGCCAGACTAGAGATATTATCACTAATTAGAGACCGTTATCACTAACTATCGGCTGTGTGACCCATGGAGTAATGAGAAAAAGCGAGCACCTCTGTTGTTATCTCAGAACGTCGTCTCTCTTATCTCACGCCTGACTTTGTGATGAACGAGGGTTGTGTGCTGTAGGTAGTGTTTATATAAAGAACTAGGAAGACATTTGGGGTGTATATCTACTCTAATCCCACTTATTACATTTTACCAGCCCATTTTGATGTTGTACTTTCACCAACTCAGATTTGAGTGGCTGTTGACACTTAGTTTAACTCTTAAGTTATTATAGTCATGTTGCAATACCTAGTATCATCATAGTCTTAGTATCAGCTATGCTGATGACACCCAGTTATACATTTCCATTCCTTCTGATGATCAAGACTCTGTAGACAAACAGACCAGCTGTGTGTCAGATATTTCTCAGTGGATGTCGCAAAATTTCCTACAATTAATTCACGAAAAAACGGAAATACTGATCGTTGGTACAAAAACTTAGAGAAAGCTGCTTTTTAAGAAACTTGGTTCTTTAGCATCATATACCAAACCTGAAGTAGGAAACCTGGGTGTGATCTTAGACTGATCTGAGCTCGCATGTAAACACAGCTAAAGTAGCTTTTTATCATTTGAGAAATATCACTAAAGTTCAGCCTTATCTATCTCAGAGTGACGCAGAGAAACTTGTTCATGCATTTGTTACAAGCAGAGTTGATCACTGTAATGATCTTCTTACTGGACTTCCTAAGAAAACAATACGTCCCTTACAGCTCATGCAAAATTTGGCAGCGTGAATCCTAACGAAGACAAAACAGAGAGATCAGATCGCTCCCGCTTTGAAAGAACTGCACTGGCTGCTTGTATCATTCAGGATAGATTTTAAAGTTCTTATATGATTTTCTTATAATTTCTTGTATTACTGTTAAGCTTTGTCAACTGTCTGTAGAGCTATTTGAGCTGTCACCAGCATGAAAAGTGCTCTGTAAATTATTATTATTATTATTATTTTTATTATATCATTGCTTTTTGGAACAAAACCTTGTATTTTCATATTGCTGACCTTACAGGAGAAGGAAGTGAGAACATGCTTACCCCATCAATAACTGGAAATTACTTGATGTTTTCATTGTTATTAATGCTAAAACTATAAATTTAGTTTGCTAACACCTCTTTGTAATCCATTGTGCTTCTCTTCTACTCTCCTCCATCACATGAAGACTATTTGGAGGTAAACCAGGCACCAAGCAGGCCCCTGTGACCACCTCAGAGAACATGAAGAATTCCACCATCATCTCCAACCCTCATGCTGCTTCGGTCCAGCAGGGCAGCACTATTGGGAGCTCAGCAGCTGTTAGTGGAGGCAGCAGCGGTCTCCTACGTGGGGAAAACCTGGACCAGTCCTTGTCCTCTTTGGCCTCCAGCCCCGGGTCAGCCTTCTCAACCTGGGGAGGCAGAGACAGCTCCTGCTGCACCAGCTCAGAATCTGTAGATGTGTCCATGGGAAAAGAAGAGGTTCCGTCTTCCTGTCTCAGCCGCACTGGCAGCATCCGGACAGGCCTTTCAGAGAGGTGAGCCTCCAAGCGATGAAAGAGGATACATTGGCTTGAAATTTGAAAAAGGCTGTTCATCAATAGGTTGTGGCTTCAGAAAAAGAACTTAAATAGAATTAGTTGTGGTAGAAGATAATATTATAGCACACAGTTTGTTGTGACTAATACGGTGTACGTTACACATCAAAAGCTTGGGGATACCTACCTTGCCTTCTATAGCTTTTCACTTTCAATTAAGATTTTCACTATACTCCTTTGGTTATATTTAGCTTTAGCACTCGCCTTCATGTTCATCAAAGTGTCGCCTTTGGTATGAACAGCAAGTCTCGCCTAAATAATGATTTGACAGTTTTATTTTCTGTACTATTGTTAAAAGTTCATATTAAAACATATTTGGCACAAAGGATTCAGGTTTAAACTCTGATGCTGATGAATTCTGACATTATAATAAGGCAGGGGTCGGCAACCCAAATGCTAAGAAGATCCTTGTTGTCCTTTCAAAAAATAAAACCACCTTTGGAGCCACAACATTTTATGTCCATCTTGGCTGTAACAAGAAGCTGGCGAACGACTTCAGCTTTGCAACTTTTTAGTGTTTGTCAGTTTCTCATTGCAGATTAAACGTGTCAGGAAACCAGCTGGAGTGATTATAAATGCAAATAAGTCTATTCGTCTCCATATTATTAGTCCATCCATCCATCATCTAAACCACTTATCCTTCTGGGTCGCGGTGGGGTGCTGGAGCCTATCCCAGCTGTCATTGGGCGGAAGGCAGGATACACCCTGGACAGGTCGCCAGTCCATCGCAGGGCAGACAGACAGACATACACATTCACACACACCTAGGGGCAATTTAGCGTGTCCAATCAGCCTGACTGCATGCTTTTGGACTGTGGGAGGAAACCGGAGTACCCGGAGGAAACCCACACAGACACGGGGAGAACAGGCAAACTCCACACAGAAAGGACCCTGGTCACCCGGCCGGGAATCGAACCCAGGCCCTTCTTGCTGTGAGGCGACAGCGCTACCCACTGCGCCACTGTGCCGCCCCAAATTATTAATATTCATCTTAAATCTTTCTCTTTGCCTTTTCGTTAGATACTAGCTAGGCCAGATTTTCTGCATGTTGTCTGCGTTGCTATGGTGACCAGCAGAATGTGCACCAACCTTCAGGGTTTAAGGGTGAATTAGCAGTTCTACATTAACTCCAGTGTTTAAGACCAGTTATCGTTAAACTGTGTTGAACGATCAGTAGAGCTTTATTTTACTGCAAAGGAGGATTATTTCATTTTTACCTACAAATCTAATTCAGCTGTGGAGCCACAACAGGGCAGTAAAAGAGCCGCTTGATGCCGACCCCTGCAATAAGGGGATAAAATACATGGCCTTGGATCTTTTTGCAAAGAAAAATGTCAAGATTTAAACTCTTTTCTGTGTATGTTCATATTTTGCAAACCAACAAAGTCGGCTTATTTAAAAGAAAAAAATCCCTGTCCCTGTCTATTTGATGGGCAGTATGTTGCTGATGGAAATGTATGATTTATTTTTCTGCTGGGGAAGACGCTATGACACGCACTGCAAAAAAATGGCTTCTTGTCAAGTGAAATGATCTTAAATCTAGTCGATATATCTAATATTTCCCATTTTTAGATGGTTGTGCTCTTATTATAAGATTAATTAGCTAATTTCTAGACATTATTTACTGATTTTACGGAATTTTATTAAGTAAAATTATCTCACTATACTGGCAGATAATTATACGGTAATACAGTTAGATAATTTTACTTAATAAAATCACTCAAAACAAGTAAAAAATGTCTAGAAATAAAAAACTTAATCTTAAATTAAGCCTACAGCAATCTCAACAGAAGAAATATTCGATTTATTGACTAATTTTAAGATCATTTTACTGGACAAGATACTATTTTTTGCAGTGTGAGGCTCAAAGTGGACGTTTTTCATAAATGTTTCTGAAGAATTCATTAAGTTCTATGAACTGAAAAAGTAATCTGATGACTTATGTACAATATAAACTTTGATCTCTTAATGGACATAATGGACCCCTATCAGCCTTTTGATCCTTTTTCTCTTCAGTTTTCTGAGTTAGCCTCTTTAATCTATCGTTGTTTGGTCTTCACATGCAGCAGCATGGCCTGGGACAACGTGTGGTCTGTAGTGGGCCGTGCTGCTTTGTGCTGAATGCTAATGATTCTTTCAGGTGTTGGCAAGATTAAAGTACAGTTTATATCACCACTCACAATCTCTTTTCCTCTCTTTTCCTCTCTTATTCTGTCGTTATCTCCTCCTTTTATTTTTTTTCTTTATCTAACATCCTTTTACCTCTTGTTGTGTCTGCCCCTACAACACCTGCCCCCCCCAAAAGCCCTGTCTCTTCCCCTGCTATTAGCCCCAAATTCAGCCACAACACATTGCCACGGAGACAGGACAGGTAAAGGTGTCTGTGTGCAGTCAGACTAGCTTTTTTGTGTTGATCGTGTTTTATGTCTGTACCAAATTTCATGTACCCTATCAAAGTTAACGCCTTGCTGGCATTACATTTTGAGATTTTGTGTTTGTCCCCTTTAACTCTTTAAACTCTGCTCCCAGAGTAGTGGGTATGTATATAAAAGAAGCTCCATGCTCCCTTTAGTGTTGCACTCTGATAGTTTCTGGGTAAGTGAGCATGCACACACGTTCAGAACGCAGTTCACTTCACGTTGAGAATGCATATTATTGATTTGTTTATCAGAGTATCAGTAAAAGGCCACTGAAGTGTGAAATACAGTCCTATTCATATCTTTACTTGCTCAAAAGGAAATTTGTTGGCACAAGCAAAATAAAAAATCTAAGAATTTTTTTCATTGACTTTAATGGGTTTTTGGGTGCTAAAGGTAACCAGTCGTGCAGTTTGTGCCAACATTTAGAAATCTGGGGCCGGATTCACGCAAACGTATTAAAAAAGAAAATCTTCTTAAATGTGTGTTTTTTCTTAACTTCATTCTTAAGAGAAAAAAGTTACGGAATATATCTCTGAGCTATTAGTGCCATATTCAAACACAAGGGCTTTTAGTGTCCCTAGAACAAAGCGATAATGGAAGGGGAGACTTTTTCAGCATATCGCTGTTGTCGGAAGAAAACCTTGTACCTCCAAAATGGTAACTTTACAGGAACAGAAAAAAACCTACTTTACTTTTAATGTAAGTCAGATGGAACCATAATGTTTTCCAAGTCATTTTGGGTCGCTTCTTAAAGTCCATTCATCATGAAATTTACACACAATGTAAAGGGCAAGAGGCATTTTCAAATTATGTCAAAAAGTGAAAAACGTCACAAATGGAGATACAAGGTTTTCTTCCAACAACAGCGATATGCTCCTAAGCTCTGGAATACTCTGCCCTTAGACATTAGACTTGCTGAGTCTAAGGAGATGTTTAAAAAAAGGCTTAAGACTTATCTGTATGCCTTAGCCTTTGATGCTGGACACAGCTAATGTTCTCTGTGGTGTTTGTGGATGAAGCTGTACTGTCTTTGGTAATAGGTTATTTGTTTATATTGTTGACTTTGAAAAGTGCTATATAAATAAATGTTTGTTTGTTTTGTTTGATAAAATGCTGTTCTGCAAATAACTTATTAGGAATTGTCTTATCGTCTTTTCGGAACTGTTTTCTTAAGAATGATTTCAAGAACAAGTGGCATTCTTGGAAATATTATGTTCTTAAATGTTGTCTTAACCTAATTATAGCCTCACACTTGTCCTAGAGTTGACAAGGTGAGCATTTAAATTTATCAGTTTATCTAGTCCTGCCCATCCTCGTCTCTCACTTTCTGCCATCAACCCATAATTATTGTATTTTCCAAGGAGTATTTTTTCCTGTTGGCTGTTTCTTCCTCTATAACCTGTAGTTCTTGTTTGCCATTTTTTTTTTAAACACTTGGTTTGATGTTTTACTCCATTTTGCTCCTCTGAGCGTATTGAACTAAATAACTATAATAACAGTCAATACAAATTCAAACTGTATCTCGCCTCATTTATGGTACATGGTAAAATGCAACGTAGCATACATCAGAAAACAATAAAGAAAATAATTAAGATTATCTTGAGAGAATATTTGAGAACTTCTTAAGTTTTTTCGAGAATTGCATTTAAGAACATCCTTATGAACTTCTTACTGTTTATCTTAAGAACGTTTGCAAGTTTTTTTCTTAAGAACGTTTGCGTGAATCCGTCCCTTGTTTTTGTTGATGATGAAGTGTGTGTTGCAGTGAACTGTGTGTGTTGCAGTACCATGGTTCTAAAGTAGGGTTGTCAAGAAAGCTGCATTGACAAATCCAGTGTTGCGTATCAGAGGAAACGTGCTGCTGACATGCTTGTGCATGCTGTGCGAGTTGTATTGAGGTGTCCTTGTTGTCAGTAAGTCAGTGTTTGCGTTTGTATTTGTTCTTGGATGTGAAAGACAGAAAGGCTTTTCTGTACCTTTCCCATCCAATGAGTGCATTGCCTTTCTACAGGTATGCCCACCTGCCACATGGGCGGGGCAGTGAGGATGCACGTGATTGGCTGCGCTCTCATTCTGCTGGTGGACTTCAGGATTCTGGAGTATCCCCCCCCTTTTCTCCTGCCTCCACACTCAGCTCACCCTCCGCAACACGCTTCAACTTCACCACTACTGGTATACACACACAGAGCTGACCACGAAACATGCCAGCACACATAAACATGTTGGTATGATCCCAGTTGTCTGTATTAAAGATGTAAACTTTGGCAAACTCTTTTCACCGGTAACTGACCATCATTTGTCAGCGATTATCCCGGTAGACCTAAAATCAAAGATGCGACCTATCAAAATATCAGTTATAAAATAGATAGTTTCAGGTTCTGAATCTGATTGTCTGAGCCACGTTCTAAGCCAGGCATGTCAAACCGGGGACCTTCCAGGCCAAAGTTCTGCAGAGATTAGCGTTTACGCTCATCTAACGCTCTGAATTCAGAGACCTTGCTAATTAGCTGAAGAGCTGAATGAGAGTTTTTAATGAGGCAGAGTGCTGAAGTCTGCAGTGTTTTGGCCCACGAGGACTGGAGCCTGACGCCTGTGTTCTAAGCTATTATTAAATACTCGATATCCAACACTTGTAAGTGCACATATGACCTGAATTCTGTGTTTATGCACCAGGATATTAGAAAAAGTGTTCCTTTTATGGACCACGGAACATAGTACTGATAGGTGGGGCAAGACCTAAGCTTGTATGTGAAGTGCATGACCAACAAAAATGCCGAAACAAAATTAAACATACCTTACAGAAGAACCCAATTTTGCTTAAACCTAAAGGCTGACGCTTTAATATTTTATGAATATTTCACCAAAAAACAGAAAAACAGGGCTGGGATATACAGTGACAGGCTACTAAAGGTTCTATATTCTAGAACTATATAAAGTTCTAACATTATGTTCATGACTCATTACTAGCCCAAGTTCAAACCGAAATAAATACCGTGACCGTAGCTGGCTTTGTCTCAGTGTACCAGTAGATCTCTAAGGCCTCCTCCATCCACGGCCTTGTCTATTACTTTGCACACCCATGTGTGATTTGTTCACACCGCACTGCATCACACATTCTCTCAGAGATCATGGACAAAACTGTATTATCTTACCGCTTGTGTATTTTTAGTAGGCTTGTCTAGTGGGACCAGTTGCCGCAACTGATACACCCACTTATTCAAATAGGAACTGTTGTTTCTTGGAAATTAAAATAACTGATAGCACTGGTTAAGCAATTGTTTATTCATCAGTTAATGGTAAATCAGTAAATCATTTACATCCATACTCCATATTCTTTTCATTTAATGTACATTAGCATTCAAAAGTTGACATGCATTCAAAAGACATGTTGTTGTGTTTTTAATCAATAATAGGCACCTGAAGATATTTTTAGATGTAGTTTACTGTAAAATTTAAACTTTTTCAGGAGCAAAAGAAGTTAGTAAATGATAATAAATATTATGTACAGTAAGTTTCTATTTATATTAGTACTAGTATTTATAGTTCCTGTGAAATTATCCCAAGATATGATGACCACATTTCAAATATGAGGTATTCTGGATGCTAATTTTATCATTTTTTTCAATGTTATACTGCTTTCTCAATTATTATTATTATCTTCTTACAAACTATTTTAAACCTTGAAGTCTATTAACATCAAATTAGATTCATTTTATACACGTATCTGCCTCAAACCTGTTAGTGAAAACTTTGATTCCAAACATTTAAAGTGTATATTCTGTTTTTTCCCTATAGCTGCTTAAATTCCACACTGTGCATGTGATTTATAGCACTCTATAGACATGCAGTCCAGTTCTTAGGGAGTGTATTACCTTCCAGATTTAGGTTCTGATCCAGTATACCTCTAGAAGCTGGTAAGAACAGTAACATGGACTGGCACATCTTTTAAAAAAGTGAAAAACCACTGTTGTATGGCCTGAAGTGAATTTTGACCTCAGTCATGTCACTTTTGCCTGTACAGGCAATCCCACCACGGCTGCGCAGATAAACCTGCGCACCCCCAGCAGCCTGGCCAATCAGGATGGGACGCTCGACCCACTCAGTGACCCTCGCCTGCGCAACTCTTCAGTGTCTCTGGAGGAGAAGAACCGCACCATGAGCAGCTCTGGATCGTTCCGTGAGCCGCTGGAGGAAGGTTAGAATTAAATATATTGTGTACATATACAGAAGTGTACGGTATAAAGAAATGCGTTTAGGTAATGTGTCTCAACAGCAGGTTAAAATGTCAAAGCTCGGCCTTACAGAAGAAATTATGCAAAAAAGTGTAAAATTATAGTACGTCTTAAAGTACTACGCAGTTGCGATACAGAAGAAGACTTTTCAAGTTCAGCAGAGTTTGTTTGGAAAAATATTTAATATAAATATAGATAGTATTAGGCGAAAAGTATGTAAACAGCAGTGTGTATATGCGTTTGGGTGAGATTGTCTGTTTACAGTCAGATGAATGCTGCAGGTGTGACCTGTTTGACAGCTTGAGGGTAGACGCTGTTGTTGTTATTGTCAATAACATGTTTGAAGTTAACACAGTAGGCTTGTAGATCAGTTGTGTTCGACGTAAGTGCTAGGTCTAATATATATCAGCCCACACACACACACACATATATATATATATACACTGATCAGGCATAACATACCTCCTTATTTCTACGCTCATTGTCCATTTTATCAGCTCCACTTACTATATAGATGCACTTTGTAGTTCTACAGTTACAGACTGTAGTCCATCTGTTTCTGTGTAACACTGACGTGGTGGTGGTGTGTTAGTGTGTGTTGTGCTGGTGCGAGTGGATCAGACACAGCAGTGCTGCTGGAGTTTGTAAACACTGTGTCCACTCACTGTCCACTCTATTAGACACTCCACCTTGTAGATGTATAGTCAGAAACGATAGCTCATCTGCTGCTGCACAGTTTGTGTTGGTCATCCTCTAGTCCTTCATCAGTGGTCACAGGACGCTGCCCACAGGACACTGTTGGCTGGATATTTTTGGTTGGTGGACTATTCTCAGTCCAGCAGTGACACTGAGGTGTTTAAAAACTCCAGCAGCACTGCTGTGTCTGATCCACTCAGACCAGCACAACACACACTAACACACCACCACCACGTCAGTGTTACTGAGAGTACCTGCTCTGTGAGGGTCCATGGGGGTCCTGACCACTGAAGAACAGAGTAAAAGGGGGCTAGCAAAGTATGCAGAGAAACAGATGGACTACAGTCTGTAATTGTAGAACTACAAAGTGCACCTATATAGTAAGTGGAGCTGATAAAATGGACAATGAGCGTAGAAACAAGGAGGTGGTTATAATGTTATGCCTGATTGGTGTAAATATATACATATATAAATTGTATGTATGTACAAAAAAATCATACATTTAAGAGTTAAAGCCCATAACAGGATTTGCTTTAGCTGGCTGGTCTATTTTAGTATTGTAACATTAGAGATTTCAAAAAACAAGTCACTAAAACACGCAGTTTGGACATCGGTCTTGCTCTCTGATGGTCAACCCACAGCTAGCACTGTTTTGGTTTGGCAGTTCCTGGTGGTGGCTTTAAAGAGAAACGTATGCAGCACAGACATGCTGTACTGTCGCTCTTAATCAGTTTATTTGCAGTGATATTAAGTGCTGCTGTGTCTGTAGTTCATGCCAATATCAGCTCTGTTATGAAAGAGATGGAATGATTTTTTTAACAATCTGATTAAATTGATAAGACTTCGAGCGAGGAGAGGGTGATGTGGCCTTAAGAGCTGCTAATGGTGCGTGTAACTGTTAAACCGGTTAAACGGAGAAGTGAAAAGCTGACTGTTTAATGGAATACTGATTATTCACTGGAAGCACAGACAACTAACGGAGGAAAAGAAACGCAGTTCTTGGCGTCTGCCCTGTGATCTCTGCCCACTGTGTGACCAAAACTCAGCAGCCTTTCACCAGCATATCGGCTCAGTCTTATTAACGTACAGCACCGGCTTCCATAATGCCCTCGCTGTCTCTGTCTGTCTTTCCTCCCTCTTCTTCTTCTTGTTTGTTCTATCGCTCCGCTTTCACCCTGTTCTTCCTTTCCTCTCTTTTTGTTTTCTCTGATCTCTCTCTCTCTGTCCCGTGTTTTTGCTCTCTTTCTCTCTCATTTTTACTCTCTCTCTCTCTCGTTTTTGCTTTCTCTCTTTATCTCTCTCCCTTTGTCTCTCTCTCTCTCTCTCTGTGTCTCATTTCAACTTTTCAATTCAAATAACTTTATTGGCATGAATTGTAATGAACAATTGTTGCCAAAGCAATTAAAATATCCTAGTAGAATATGAAGATAATGGTGAAGAAGGAAATAATGTATAAAAGAAAGACTAAAATAATAAAATATTCATATGTACATACACACACATACATACATAAACATACACATTGTAAAATACACACACAACATCAAATAAATAAATGATACATTTACATGGGATCAGTTTAAGGTGCTGTGTCACTCTGTTCTCTGCGTTTGTGGCAGCTGTCTCTCTCTCATGTTTTTGCTCTCTCTCTTTCTCTCTCATTTTTACTCTCTTTCTGTCTCTCGCTCTCATTTCTGCTCTTTCAGTCTCTCTGTCTGTCTCTCTGCTTTCACCCTGTTCTTCATTTCCTCTCTTTTTCTGTTTTATCTGTCTTGTTTTTGCTCTTTCTCTCTCTCTCATGTTTTTGCTCTCTCTCTCTTTCTCCCTCATTTGTACTCTCTCTCTCTCTCTCTCTCTCTCTCTCATTTTTGCTCTTTCTCTCTCTTTCTCTCTCTCTTTGTCTGTCTCTCTGCTTTCACCCTGTTCTTCATTTCCTCTCTTTTTCTGTTATCTTTCTCTTGTTTTTGCTTTTTGTCTCTCTCTCTCTTTCTCTCTCTCTCTGTCTCTCTCTCTCTCTCTCTCTCTCTCTCTCTCTCTCTCTCTCATTTTTGCGCTCTCTTTATCGTTCTTTTTGTCCTTCTCTTTGTCTCTCTCTCTAGCCCTCTGTCTCTCTCTCCCTCTCTGTGTCTCTGTCTCTCTTCCTCTTGCTCTCTCTCTCTCTCTCTCTCTCTCTCTCTCTCTCTCTCTCTCTGCTGTGATTCATGTCTCTTGGCCCTGTGCTGCTGTTGCTGCGTTGATGACTGAAGGGCACGTAGCTGGTTAGAGGTTTCGTGAGCGTTTTGTTGGGACTTGCTGATGCTTGTGTGCTGATAAGTATCCAGACTCATATTCATGTAACCTGATGTTAGACTGAATATTAAACCTGAGCAGATTTCATTTCACAGGCTGTTATTTGCTGTAGATTTTGGGTGTACCCTCTGAGCTCAAGGAATTGGCCCGCACAGTGACCCTCCTGTGTTTGTTTTTGAGACAGTAACTAAACACTGAGTTTAAAAAGCTCCAAAGTTCACAAAGTTAAACTGGACCCTCCTGCTGGTCTTCTGTGCTGGAGCTTCTCCACATGCTGTACTTTATTTAGGGGGGTTATAAGCATCGTTATTCTGTACAGGAACAACTTTAGTTTTGTTTCTGTTTAATTGACACAGCATTTTCATTCTGATCTTTCCCATTTGAGCTTTTATTATTTTATTTTATTACATTAAGCCCCCTATATTTTTGTCGTTGAGGGATATTTACATTGACATGGCAACCCTAACAACTTCAGGAGCCAAAAAATTATCTTTGGGCACCTTTACATTTCTAATAAGAGTTGCAGTTTTGAAGGGAAAGTGTTTTTCCTCATGGAGAGTAACCAGATGTCCCCCAGAATCAAAATGTTCTCGTCTCTTTGTTCTTTGGTACCCTCAAAGAGCAAATCACAGATACACACACACACACACACACACACCCTTGAGAGCATTAATAAGGTGGATTTTTAAAGCTATTGTTCACTGGCATCTGACTAAGCAATGACGTACCTCAGCGCTCATTAGCGTGTGCTAGCTTCTCCTTAAGCTTACTCATGCTTTTTACATTTGCTGTGAGTCACAGAGTTGCTGAGCGTTATCAGGCACTGGCCTGGATCGCTTCACCTAATTTTTTTCTCTTTCTTTCAGTACATGGCTCTTCTCTGTCTCTGGTGTCCAACACTTCTTCTGTTTACTCCACAGTGAGTCACGTTCCCCAGTCCCTCACATTAGAACATGCTAATGATAAATAACAACAGAACACATGATGCACAGATTTGAACACATCTTTGAGTGATCCATAGTCAGGTAGCATTTAGGTAAAATCTAAAGTATCATTTAAGTTGGGCTTAGTCATTAATATGTAAACAGAACAGAGTGTCACTGTTCATAAAGTGAATGTCTAATTTACAATGTTATTTATCCCTGTGGGTGAAATGTAATGGTTTTATTTTGATGGGCTTGTATAATAAAGAGTTATTGTTTAATATCATCATGTAGGCCCAGTAGTTGAATATTCCTCTGGATAAATAATCACTGTATTGCTTTCCTTCACTCTCCCAGCCTGAAGAGAAGTCTCAGTCAGAGGTGAGAGCTTTACTCAGTCACCGTTATTGAACATCGCTGCTGTCAGGACAAAATCTCCATTTTTGTCATTTTTCATTTTTTGAAGACCAGTTCCCCTTTATGTTGTGTCAAAATTTCATGATGAACGAATCAACAGAAATGGTCCAAAATAACTTGAAAAAAATATTTCTCCATTTACTTCTATCAAAAGGTTAGGAATGTTTTTCCTTCTCCTGTAAGGTTACCTTTTTGGAGGTTTTTGTTCCAACAGCAGCGATATGTTCCAATTAATACACCTGTCAGACACTGTTTTTGCTCAAATGGCTGCAGATTCTTCAACATTTCCCTGTTTGTAGTTATTATTATATCTGTTTCTTACAGGAATTACAAGTTTCTTTAATGTCTGCCTAGAAAATTGCTTCTGTTAGACTCTATAGACATAGTAGACTAGCACTAGACTCCATACAGTTGTATGCAAAAGTTTGGGTGCCCCAGTCAAATTACGTTTTATAGATTTAAAGTCAAAATAAGTATACATATTTTTTTATTAATACATTATTACTGCTCATTTACTGAATTGAACAGGCTGAAAAAAGCTAATAATAAAATAAATAAGATGTGGCCTGTGTAAAAGTCATAGCACATTCATGTCGCTGCTGTCAGAACAAAACCTTGTATCTCCATTTTGTCATTTTTTGACCTACTTTGAAAAGACCAGTTGCCCTTTATGCTGTGTCAAAATTTTATGATGAGCAGACCAATAGAAATGGTCCAGAATTATTTGGAAAAAACTATTTTTCCATTTACTTCCATTAAAAGTTAAGAATTTTCCTTCTGATGTAAAGTTACCCTTTTGGAGCAAATATATTGAAATTGTGCACTGAAATGTTCCCTGTAGTGGACGTGTGAATTTATTTACACTTAGAAAACTAAGAAAAACGTCATTTGATTTGGGGTGTTCAAACTTTTGTACACAGCTGTATCTGTACTAACCTCAGGTTAGCTCTAACTCTGACTTTTCCTAAATTCCTTGTTCGGACCGCAATTCTAAGTCTGACTGTCCACTCCTAACTGCATAAACTATTCTCATATAAGTGGAAAAGGTCAGTATGCCAGCGGTTCCCAAACCCGGTTTTGGGAATCCCAGGGGAAAACTCAAAAATGTGCAGGGCACGGAGTTCCCAGCCATGGGAGTGGGAAGCAGCATCTGTGTGTTTGTGTGGCTCATGGCCTGCTATTGTGTGTGTGTTTGTGTGTGTGTCTGTGTGTGTGTGTGTGTGTGTTTAGATCCGAAAACTAAGGAGAGAGCTGGAGGCGTCTCAGGAGAAAGTTTCCACCCTCACTACCCAGCTGAGTGCCAACGTGAGTACCAACACACCTGAAACTGTGATAAGTGAACATAATGAGTTCTCATGTTCCAGAAGTGCTTTAGTGGCAGTTGGGCGTTTTATTGGATGTTAGGCACAGTGATTGATTTATCATGCAGCCTTAATAACCCGTGTTGCACCTGCATATTGATGCACAGTTAAGAGTCTTTGGCAGTGTGGTTGTTACAGCTGCTAAGGGTTGTAAAATTCACCTGCATTGACTATGAAATTGTAATCGATTATAATATTATTAAATTAAGTATGCACTCATTGTGCATTACACCCTTTTATTCCCTCTTCTACAGCTTTGTAAAAATCCTCCAGTCACATTTGTCTATTCAGTCGTGTATCAAAATAATCAAACTGACTTGTAGTGACCTGAGAGTGACGTAAGAGATCATGATGCATTGAACTGTTTCTTAACTCTTTAAAATCCCAGGCTTATTACATACTACGGCATATCATTCAGCAACTACAGGAACTTCAATGCAAACTGGCTTCATAAGGTCATAGAAGGTTATAGAAGATGTAATATAGTAAATGAGGCCATTTATAATATAGAAGGTCATAGAAGGTGCAATAAAACTTTGGGCCCTGGCCATTTAAGGGGTTAAGGAATCAAGTCAAGTTGTTGTGAGAGCTTGAGTGCTGCTGCATTCTGTGCGACTGGGTTCAATGCGTCTGTTTTAAAGTTTGTATCCGCCTGCAGCAGGTTGAAAATGACAGCGTCTAATTGATTGTGAGTGGTGTAAGTTTAAGTGGAATTATTCGCTCAATGAGTTCCTTCAATGCAAACAAATACATCAGCCCTCATTGGCTGATGAAAAGCCTCAGTGTGCTGCCCGTATCCTCTGTTGTTAGTTTCACAACAGTGTCCTGGGCCACCACGCTCAACGAGGGGAGACACACACACGTAAAGACTGAGTGTACTGAGTGTTTTTCGTTGGCACTGTTTCTCGGCAGTAGCTGATCTGTGGAGGTTTGCGTTTGCTTGTCCAAAGCGTGACTTGCTGCATGCCCGAACATTTCTCTGTCTAATAGAAGCCGTCCAGATAACTGCCTTGTGCACTCTGTGTTCCCCCGGTTATCAGCTCATGTTCTGCAGAGTGTGTGATAGGATCGTGTGTCTCCCTGAGTGCGTGTGAGGGTGTCTGTGTGTGTTTTTTCGTTTCTGGCTCTGTGGAGATCAGAGGAAGGTTTAGTCGTGCGTGTTTGTCAGAGTATTTGGTGGCAGAGAGGAGCTAATCATGCTAACAGGCAGCACTAGCCCTGTGGGTCCAGTGGTCTGGCAGCCACTCAACTGGTATCCATCTGTGAGGGGGCTGGTCATGCAGAGGACCCTCATGCACAGAAAGGTACACAACAGCCTCCACTGCGATGTGGAAGGTGGTCTGGAGCTCCAGCAGGTGGGCAGGACCAGCAGTGCCAATGCTGCTGCTGGACCTACGTTTCATTTTATTCGTTTTGTTTACCTGTACAGTATATTGTAAAAGAAGGCTACTGTATGCAAAGAGCCATCTGACATTACACTGCTGTTTACTGTGTGTTGTGAGCATCCTGACTAGCTTCAGTTGAGTTTCTGTGGGTGTTGTGATGAATCAAGGCATTCACGTGATCCAGAGTATTGCAGGCCAATTGAAGGTTCACAAGTATGTTTTAATATATTGCAGTATTTTGTAATTACAATATGTAGCACTTAGTCTTAATAACTGCAGTGTCATATTTATACATGCTTTATTAATTATTACTAAGGTTTATGACGCAGGTTTGTGTTAAGAAGCAAAATTTTTCTTTTTTGGGTTAGACTCTCTTCCATACTGCGTAAGGGAAAAACTGAATGCTGTCTTTTGGGCAGAATTTATAACTAACACTGCCAAGTGTTCAACATTTAAAATATAATTTCCTTTTACTGTGCATTATAGGGCTGTTTACTCTGCCTACAGTAATTGTTATACTGGTTATGATTCAGTTGAAATATATAATCTAACTATATACTGTTAGTATACTGAGCACTTTTTGAAGTCTGTGTTGATTGAAGAATTTTCATTAATTGTTAGACTGAGGGTTTTTGATTGGTCTAACCTCAGCTACTATTTACTTACAGTGAGTTTGTGAAGAGTTGAGTTCATTTGCTGATACTAAATGTTTTATTCCATTAAACTTGTGTGTGTAGAGTGTAAAATGAACTGTTCTGTTAGATGCTTCCTAAGTGGTATAACTTAGCTTGTACTATCTACAGTGCGTCTTTGGTGTAAACAGAGAAGAAACTATAAAGTAAAGAATAGGGTTCAGATATCTGATGGTATAATTTTAGAGAAAAGCTAAATTAAATCAAACATCTTAATTAATTTATTTTTTTAGACTTTCATGACTATTAAAATTACTAATCTTATCATTAGTGAGATGTAAGGATAACAGGTCTATGTTGAGAGCTGCAATTGACTGGTTTTCAGTCTCACTCTTACACACTGTAGAAAGGAAAGAGTAACAGTAGCATTAGTGTTTTCAGAACTGATCAGCAGACAGATGAATGATGGACGTCTGCTCTGGAAGACATTTATTAATGCAGAGTTTTCTGCATTTTATTTTGGATTGTAATGGGTGTGTTTCATCATTTTTAACACTTTACCTCCCTATCTCTCTCTTTCACTCCCTCTCACTCTATGTCTCTCTCTCTCTCTCTCTCTCTCTGTCTTTTTCTCTCTCTCTCTGTCTCTTTCTCTCTCTCTCTCTCTCTCTTTCTTTGTCTGTCTGTCTCTCTCTTTCTCTCTCTCTCTCTCTCTCTCTCTCTCTCTCTCTCTCTCTCTCTCTTATCTCATCCTGGAGCTATATTGCAGGAGAGAGGCTTGGACAAGTCTGTTTGTTCTCCAAACTATTTGTTTTGCAGTTTGTTTGTTTAGCCCTTATTTGTTGCTCAGTAGACTCAGTGGACTTACATGAAATTAAGGGTGAAAACGCTGCTGATATAAATACACAATAAATGAAATCTCTAAGTATGGAATACAGTGTCACACATATATGTTATCCTTATTAAACCTCAGTAATGATAAGATTAGTATTTTTAATAGCCATGAACGTCTAAAAATAAACAAATTAGGATGTTTGATTTAATTTAGCTTTTCTCGAATATTATACCATAACATATCTGAACCCTGTTGTCATTGGCAACAAATACTGTAATTTTGGCTATAGCTGAAAGTTTCTTCTCACCAGGACACTTTATGAGACTTTGTTTGATAGAAAGTGGCCTGTTTGTTTGCAGGAGTGTGTAAGTGGCCTGTTCTGATCAAGTGGGGCTTTGAGTTCCTGCTCAGACAGGTTTCTGTGGCGATGGAGTTTCATGTCCCAGCATGCCATTGTTATCCAGTTCAGCCAAAGAAGCAAATAAAGTTGTCTGGATGGACAAGAATGGGTTCTCTGGAAATCCTCAGTTTTGCTTTGTTGTTACAAACTTCTGATGATGATGAAATTATGTGTACCTATTGAGGAAATGTGTCACAATAGTAGGTTTGATGAAAATTTGCTGCTTTGTGTTCAGGCTCACCTGGTGGCGGCATTCGAGCAGAGCTTGGGAAATATGACCATCAGACTGCAGAGTTTGACCACGACAGCAGAACAGAAGGTAAGAGAGGGTACAGCTGTGTGTGGAACTGTGTGTTTATGTGTGTCTGCAGAGAAAAAATGTGGACTCTCTGGGGGTCTCTGAGGCCTGGTTTGAAAACCTGTGTTAAAGCATGTAATAAACATGCGTAGCATTATTTTGGAAAGTGCTTTTGGGAACTGTAGTTAACATGAATGCAGTGATCACGATTTGTAGGCTAAATGAACATGTTAAATTTACTAGTATATTTTCAGCACTTTCTGTTAGCCAAACTCTCAATATAAATAACTTTTGATTTTGTAAATGATAATTCAGTTAAATAGAATGAATAAAGTGCTACATCAAAAATAGAAGCCAACTGGCTATTTAGCACACTGGGTCATGCATAGCAGCATTCAGATACAGCACAAGAGCACTTACCTGACTCATGTTATATATAGAATAAAATTGAAGCGCAGGTTGGCCAAAATCGAAATAAAAATCGTCCAGTCATGTGTTTGGAGCACAAATCCGCCAGTCCAGATCTTGCATCCCTAGTAGCTGACTCTTGTGTTTGTGTGTGACTGCAGGACACAGAGCTGAACGAGCTGAGGAAGACCATTGAGCTACTGAAAAAGCAAAACACTGCAGCTCAGGCTGCCATCAGCGGCGTCATCAACACACCAGACGCCCCCAGCAAAGGTCTGACCAAAGACTGCTTTGATGAGGTCTTTAATAGGCCCCTTTCATGTTTCCGAGCTTCCACTTCCTGTCGGTTTTGTTACCAAGTAGCTATGTTTAAAGTTTAACCGAAAAAAGTGATTAACATCGTATGTCTGGTGCAGGAAAGTAACACTGAAGTAACTGTGGTAGAACAGAAAAAACATTCTCTCCTTCTCTCTCTCTCTCTTTCTCTCTCTCTGTAGACTCCTCTAGTGGGCTCTCCCCGGTCAGTAGGTGATTTGAGGATCCACAGACAGCATTCCTCTGACAGCGTGTCCAGCATCACCAGTGCCACCAGCCACTCTAGTGTGGGCAGCAGCCTGGAGCTTGATGCCAAAAACAAGAAGAAGAGGAAAAACTGGGTAAGTCTTCCTCTCTTTGCTGTTCCTCCATCTGCCAATTAACAGCTCTCTGACCATTAGAAACCAGGCTTCATTTCAGGTTTCAAGTGAGGGTCCTCTTGAAGACATAGCAATAAGCCCTACTCATCCTTTACAGTACGCAAGTCTTGAAAGGATGTATGAACTGGAAGGAGCAATGACTAGAATACAGGTTCTTCCAACTGCCTTTGCTTGGATATCTTCACTACATAGAATTTTTTGGAAGTAAATATTAATAATTTTTGGCTCTTTTAGCTAAAATAAAGACAAGGTTTTCTAATTTTTCAAAACTTCAAGCATATGCTCATACCCCATACTCCGTGTATATGCTGACTTCTATTTTCCCGATATGTTTACATCCTGATATTCAGAACATGACCAAAGAAGTATTGTTTCACTGACCCATTTATAAAGTATATATATATATATATATATATATTATTTTGCTGTTGTCGGAAGAAAATCTTGTTTTTCAGTTTTTGGCATAATTTAAAAATGCCTGTTGTCCTTTACATTGTGTCTAAATTTTGTGATGGATGGACCAAAAGAAATGACCCAAAATGACTTGGAAAAAAAGTCTGGTTCCATTGACTTACATTAAAGTAAAGTATGTTTTTTCCTTCTGTAAAGTTACCATTTTGGAGATACGAGGTTTTCTTCCGACATATATATATATATATATATATATATATATATATATATATATATATAATCTCCTGGGTAAGTGTTGAATATGCTAATGCTGAATATGCTGATGTCATATTCTCTCTCTCTCTGCTCAGTCCCCCTGTGCAAGTGGAAAGGTGAATATTCTCAACAGGAGAAAATGCCCAGTGCCTTGCTCCCCCAGTAGCCAGATCTTTCACATGTTCTCTTTCTGCACTTGATGTACTGAGATGAAGTTTTTTCTCTATAAATCGTACTTTAAAACCAAACCACAAGTGCAGTAAACAGTAACTTTCGTGAGCTGGTAGATACTGTCTATAGATAGAGCTCTATCATTGTCCACTGCAGGTAAAGGCTGTAGTTTGATGCTTTTCCCTACTGAAAATCATATACGGTGTGAAGACCTTCATTCATAAATATATTCATAAAATAAAGTTCCTGTTGAATTTTCAGTAGGGTTCCTTGAGCTATGTTTTTGAACTCTTGTGTTCCTGTACCCTCTGTCGCCCTCTCCTGTCCAGGCTGTGTCCTGCGTGGGAGGGAAGACTCAAGATGACTATGTACGCTATCCATTCTGTTGCTAGAAATTTGTTCTGATGTTGTAGTAATGTGGATGATTTTAGGATTAACTGAATATTCCTCCCTGTTTGCAACCAACACACAGTAGTGATGTAGTCTTTTGGCTTCTGTGGTGAAATATTTTATTTTTTAGGGTTATTTTATGGACAATGCTGTTCCCTTGAACTTTGTTTTGTTGAATTCTGTTTTGTTGAGTCTTACTGTCTTATAGAAGTGCCAAGTGCACAATTTCGTATGCGATTTACAGTGAAGTGATTTTAGAGGAACTTAACCACCAACTCCCCCTGACCCCATGTAGCTGGATAAAATAACTTAGCAGTGACCACAGTAATGGTGAATTAGTTTTCCATTCAGTTTAAAATATAGCTAAATCTTATTCAATATGACATTTTGAATGTTAACTAGAGAGAGAAAGGAAAAAAAACATGACCCTAGATCAGTCCTCTACACATAAACCCTGATCTGAAGGTTCAAGCTTAAGTTCAGTGGTGTGAAACTTGAGTTCTGAAGGGCCACAGCACTGCACAGTTTAGTAGGGATGTCCCATTAAAGCTTTTATTTTATCTGAAAGATCACCAAACATGTTTATGATGTACATTTGCTGATCTTTCGGACCTATGCTGTACTCTGGCCTAACTGAGCTTACAGATTTTGTGTATGTCCTGTGCTATTCTAAAGCAAATAGCTGAGTGAGGCAGTATGTTTTCTAACCTTAAGCCATATAAAATCACTTTAAGGCCCAATCCCGTTATTTTTACCCCTACCCCTTGTTTTTGAGTGTCACATTGCCCTTGTAGAGGCTGAAATCTTCCCCTCTGAAATGGGACCCTCAAATAAAAAAGAACATTACTTGATTAACAGCTACTGGCACTGCTCTGTAGGTGACCCTGCCAGTCTGCAGTGATAGCAGAGGAGGGTAAAGTTCAGCTCCTCACTGCTGGGCTTTAGTTACATTTAGGGAATCATATCCCCTTCAAAGAAGGGGGACAATTATTTATTATTGCCCACCCCTAATTCTTCAGTGATATGAAGCTGAAGTCAGATATTCACCAGCTTCTTGTTTCAATTTTCCTGCTCCACCTTAAATGGTGCAGCACATTCTGGCGCCTCAGGTGTCAGAACTGCTGCACCGTTTAAGGTAGAACGGGAAATTCAGCTAGCTACCGAGACATCAGCATACTACTAGCGATTTTTTGTGCTTAATACATTGAAACGACAGTAAACTAAGATAATACAGTGGTTATCGTAATTCTTTAACAGAGAAAATACTCACATTTGTAGGTTTCTTTGGTCACTTGTGCAGCCATATTGCTGTTTTTTTTCCCTCAGAGCACTCTGTCTGGAGTGGGCCTCTGAAAAACCTTCTTTTGGAGGGCCATGTAGCCCTAACACTTCGCCCTACCCCTCTATCTCAACAAAAATCTGGACACCCTACCCCTAGGTGTGAATGAGCAAATTACATTAAGGGCTAAGTGGTAGGGGCAAGGGGTGAAATGGTACTGGGCCTAACACTCAATGCTTATTGGCTTATTGCTTTTATAGTTAAAACACAGCATATTAAAACATAATAGAATTGATGTTTGCAGTTATATATGTATATGGAGTATTTTACAGTGGCTTCAAACATGCCTCATTTTGCGTTCATATATCAAACACACCACACCAGAGTTTGGAAGCACTGAGTCCAACCTCCTTAAGGAGGTTGTGGTCTGCTTACGTGTTCCTCTCCATGGCAGCGTTCTTGTGTGTTATAGCAAACTGTACTAACATCAAAATCACACCAGGGTCTGTTTTGATTAAAAAAACTGAACCTGCCAAGTGTGAACACATACTAATTACCTTAAAATGCTGCAGTAAAATGACTTCGTTCTAAATTACACATTCTTTATTGATATGATTTGCTTTTTGTCTTTCATTAAAAGGTCATTTTTCATGATTTTTAATGAAGTTGCTCTGACATACACAAAACAGGCCTAGTGATTTCCCTCTGCTTTGAACAGGCAATTATTCTTACCGTTGAGTGTATATAAGCCACAAAATACTGCATTGCGGAAGTGCCTGTTGGGCTGTTTTGACTTCCACTTAGGAGTTGATCCACACCAAAGACCTTTAACCTGCTTGTTAACTTCTGAAAATGCACCACACTACTGCAGCTTGTGGATAATGTTTAATGTTTAAGTCACTTCTATGACAGTTGTTTAAACAGAGGGCAGTGGGACAAATTGGGTTTAACAAAGGATCAGAATTAGACTGGGCTTAATAAAACAGATATCAGTGATATCTGAAAACCGTGAACTCCTCAGCTGATTAGTAAGCCGTTCCTGAGTTGGATCAGGTGTGTTAGAGCAAAGAAAACAATGCTGTGGTCCTACAGGACTTCTTTCTGACGCCCTGTTTTTAGTTTCTCCCCAGATAACCCACCTGTGAGAGTGATTTGTGGTGACTAGTTGACACTGTTAGAATCTATGGATTCCCCCTTTTCATCAGCAGTGTAGCTATTGGCTCTGTCTGTTCAGTCTGCATTCATCATGGTTAATACAGAAAGCATTCTTAAACGCATTCTTCCATTGTAGCATAAGCTCCAATGACTGTGGGAGTAATTATCGCTTTAGCTAAATATGGTGTATTGAAATATGCTTTTTCCCATTTTCTCTGTGCTCTCGCCTCGGTGGAAAGGTTTATGAGGTAAGTTTTCCTCTTTATTGCGGCACAGAGGTGCAAAATGTGATTGATTGCTCATTGTTGGACTGTTTTGTTAATTCCCCATACCGACACTGTTTTAAGGTTGTTCTTAGCCTAAATTCTTTTTGCGTGTGAGATTGTGTCATTTTTTACATTTCATTTATTTATTTGAGCTATGAATCTGCTTTCATTTGCTGCTAGAAAGATGCACAGGATATTGAAAAAATGTGTTTGGAATACTCTACAAATGGATTGGATGTGGCTGCAACTTTTAGAAAGGCTTTCATAGTATATTTTAAAATAAATCATTATAAATTAGCCAGTTCTGGAGAAGATATGAAGTGAAGTAGGAGACTAGTTACATTCAGCTGGATGATAGGCTAGGTAGACTGCAGTTTGCTACACTATTTTAATGAAATTGCTCAATTATATAATTGATTATATCACTGCTGTCAGAACAAAACCTTGTATCTCCAAAATGGTAACTTTACAGAAAAAGAAAAAAAACATACTTTACTTTTAATGTAAGTCAATGGAACCAGAATTGTTTCCAAGTAGTTTTGGGCCGTTTCTTTTGATTCATTCATCAAGAAATTTACACACAATGTAAAGAACAACAGGCATTTTGAAATTATGCCAAAAACCCAGAAACGACAGAATTGGAGATACGAGGTTTGGTTCCAACAGCAGGGATATAGTTAGCTAATAGTTAGTGATGTAATGAATTGTATTTACGTTCAGTCAGCAGTTTCTGCACCTTTTTAACAAATAACAGGAAACAACAAAAAAAGAGTTTTCTTTAGGACAAGACTGTAAACAAAAGAAATTTCATCAAATGCAGATCATAATCTCTTTTACTTACACAAGCTGAAAGTTAGAATCTGCACTTTCCGCAGTTTCTCTGCCTGTTTCTATGAGCTACGAGTAACAAAATAATAATTAAGTAATAAAATTACTTTGATTTCATACTTTTTTTATGACTGGTTATAACTGTGACTTCTAAGGATTAAACAGTGCTCTCTCGTCTGCTGTCCACAGCTGAGGAGTTCCTTCAAACAGGCATTTGGGAAAAAGAAGTCACCCAAGTCGGCCTCTTCACACTCGGACATTGAGGAAATGATGGACTCATCCCTGCCCTCCTCCCCCAGACTGCCCTACGGTCCCCCTGCCGCCTCAACTCTGCTCAGACACTCACACTCCAACTCACTGTAAGCACACTCCTGCCTCCCTACACATCTGCGGCCTTTTTGGAGTGTAGAAAACTCCCAGTTAAGCCTTGAATGCTTGGTTGTTTTGCCAAGCATTCGTACATACACATTTCAAAGGTTTCTGAGTCTTTGAAGTGTGATATGAATGTTTTTGTAATATATTATTTGTTGCAGATATGAATAAAATGATTCTAACGTGATGCTAGAATTCTACAACTTAATAGATTTAAATCCCAGACTTATTACATACTAACTGCAGACTGGTTGAGCTAATCTTAGGTTATAGAAGTGTGTAATAAAACTTTGGGCCCTGGCGATTTAAGGCCCATGTGTCAAACACAAGGCCCACGGGCCAGATTAGGCCTGTGACGCAATCTTATCTGGCCCACAAAAGTATTTTAATTTTCTGTTAATATTAGCCTGTTTCACTACAGTCCCCAGCATGCATTGCAACGTAATGTGCACTCCAACTCTCCTACCCCAAAAGCAATCTATGAGACAGCGGTTACACCTCAATTGTACACAACTGTACAGAATTCCACACCAGTCATATCACCAAACACACCAGCTGCAGTTCAGCTTAATCACTATAAGCACTTAACGCCAGCTCAGCAGCTCAGAAAGTGAGCCCAAGTCTTAATGAACTTGCAGCAAAGAAAGGATGCCAGGTTAGGTTTAAAAGACAGAGCACCTGGGGACATTTAAATTTTGACACCCCTGATTTAAGGGGTTCTATAGCACGCTTCACCACTGTCATCAAAACACCAACTGAGGGAGTATCTTTTGGAAGAATGGTGTTCTATCCCTCCAGTACGGTTCCAGAGACAGGTAGAATCTATGCCAAGGTGCATTGCAGCTGTGACTCATGGTGGTCCAACACCTTACTAAATTACTAAATATACCCTGGCCATCTAAGGGGTTAGGACATTTAGGATGTGTCCAGAATGATGAACAGAGCTGTAGATGTTTCTAAAATGACTGATTAAAACATAATAGAATTGATGTTTGCAGTTATATATGTATATGGAGTATTTTACAGTGGCTTCAAACATGCCTCATTTTGCGTTCATATATCAAACACACCACACCAGAGTTTGGAAGCACTAAAATGACTAAAAAATGCTATCAGAAACTGTGAATACAATGATTTTTAGTAAATGTTTTGCATACTGTGCTCTATTAAATCCAGGTAAACAGGCCTAATTGTGCTCTCTTTGTAGTAAAACATGTAGTTGGTCAGTTTTTTTTAAGTACTGACAGTATCCACTGCTCAGAAAAGCATATTGTAACATACTGTGACAGTTTATCACAAAAACGATAAGTATCAGCTAATTGCCAGCACCTGTTCATACTTCACATTTGTGGCCAGCAACACTGATGTGCTTTGTACGTTTGAGACTTGTGTTACTCTACAGGTTATGCTATAGGTGCTAATTTGTGATTTTTAAAGTGCACTGTTGTGGTGTGTGTGTGTTTGTGTATGTTTGTGTATTTGTACATAGCCCTCTTCTCTCCTCGCTCTCCGCTTATGGAAGTGGATGGGGCTGTAACAGTGCTCCCATCAGGACCGCCTCTCTGGCACGGTAACAGCAGAGACCAAAAACAACAATCAAACTCTAAATCCATAAAATCTCTGCTATATCTATAGACGCTGATCACAAAATGGTCAAAAATCATTGTGAGTCATAACACAACCAGCCCAGTGATTACTGAATTACTTAATTTCCTGTTCAAGCTCAAGCACAGTGTGCGCTTTGATTCCACCTGTTGTCTGATACACTGTATGTCCAAAAATATCCAGACACCCCTTCTAAGTCGGTGAATTCAGCTTCTTTAAGCTGAACAATATTTACACAATTCAGTTGTGCACACACGTCTTGTGTAATCTCCACTGAAAAGCATTGCCAATAGAACAGGACACTCTAGAGCAGCCACACATGAGCCTAAGGTCATCATACTTAATGCCAAGCGTTGGCTAGAGGGTCATAAAGCTGGAGTTATTGAGCCCCACCCAGTATCTCTGGGATGAGCTGGAGTAATCCAGAACTGATCATCCAACATCAGTACCTGACATCACTAATGCTGTTGTTGCCAAATGCAATGAAATCCTCGCAGCAATGTTCCAACATCTAGAGTAAAGCCTCTAACAAGAGGCTGTTACTGCTGCAAAGAGGTGACAAACTCTTTGTTAAACCCATTTCAGAAGAAACGCTGGATAAACAGCTGTATAACCTTTGGACATATAGTGTACCTAGTCTGTGAGACTTAATCAGTACTCAACACGTTATTAACAATTCAAACAGGAATTGAGTGATGTATTTTAAGTGTGGGTGATTTAAATGATTGTAGATAAATTGTCTCTTACTAATTACTAACTGGAGTCCTTGGAACATCACAGACAGTTTGGTTCATATATTGTTTCTGTGTATTTGTGTTACATTATAGTATCTCTGAGTGTACAGACAACGAGGCAGAAGTGGTGATGCAGTTGCGCAGTGAGCTGCGCGATAAGGAAATGAAGCTGACGGACATCAGGCTAGAAGCTCTAAGCTCAGCCCACCAGCTCGACCAGTTCAGAGAGTCCATGAACCGCATGCAAGTCAGTGGCAAAATATCATTCACCTTCAGCCTCTCACATCAGCCCCGTCAAACTAATGAAAGATTATTTCCCACATTCTGTAGTCAGAAATTAAGCCCAGAACCAGAACCAGGCCAGTTCATTTAGTTGTTGCTTAGTATGACTTCACAGGTTATGTGAAATGAAAAATGTAAAAAAAAATGTATTGAATGTTTTTACTTTAAAGGCTACCATTTTTATTTATGCAACTTGAAATAGTAAGTTAATTGAAAGTCATACACTAATTAATTTCTTGTTAGATATTTACAGTAAATTTGACTAAATTTTCTCCAAAATTTACTCAGTTTTCATTCGTAGTCCAGGTGCAACCAGACATCCAAGACATGCAGCTATGAGGCTAATATAGCTATATAATGGCAGCTTATACCTCACTGCATTACACACTTGTATCATCAAACCATTGTAATGTCAAATATATATATATATATATACATATATGTATGTATATGTATGAAATGTAGTTTCTAATACTGTGTGATAAAAAATGGACAGAAGACAGAAGGAGCCCAGTTGAGATGACTCAAAAACAAGTGCGATGATTCAGGCAGGCAGTTTGTAGTTGCTTATGTCACTTTAAACAATAACACTTGGATTTCTTGAGGCCTCATTGGTGCGTGCTGTGTTTGTTGTGTGTGTGGGCAGGCGGAGATTGAGAAGCTGAAAGCGGAGAATGACCGTCTGAAAATGGACAGCAGGGGGAGCTGTAGCACAGCAACTTCACAAACATCCATTAGCCCGTCGTCTGTCGGCCTGTCCTCTCAGCTCAGCCTGACCGAGTCCACCAGCCTGGGTACTGGGACATTCACACACACAAAGTCAATGAAACAGAGGAGTGTGAAAGAGATAAACAGAGAGAGCAAGATGTGTTTTCTGTATACTGTATACTTTGTTTTTTTATTTCTACACTTTGTGTGCAGACATGTATTATTATTATTAATATTATTATTATTATTATTTTTTTTTCAAACGTGAGGTAAAGGTTTCTGTTATCATTGACTCCTGCATGTGTGCTGTTAGACATGCTGCTGGACGACAGTGGGGATGGCAGCTCTCGGAAAGAGGGACGGCATGTTAAGGTGGTGGTCAGTCTGGAGAGAGACACTGAATGGAAAGAGGTCAGAATTGCTTCTTCTTCTTCATTACACACTCCAAAGTATCTCTCCGCTGTTTCTGGGTCTCTGGCCCTCCTGCTGAGTTTCAGCCATAACATAAGAGACCTGCATATGCAGTCGTTTGAGCACAACAGTCAAATGACATGTTTTTGTTGACTTTCTGAGTGAATAAGTTCACACATCCTCTACAGAGAACAAACTTGCACATTTTAATGCACCGCTACTGTTTATTTTCTGAGTTTAACATATTGTCGTACGCAGAAGTTATGACACATTTTACAACAGCATAATGTCATTTTACAACATCCTGATACATCCAAACACCCACAGACACTCTTCTGGAGTATTTGACATTGTTAAGCACACCATAAACAATTTTAGTGATTAGTTATCGGCTCATTTGCATATTGCAGCCAATCTACTTCAGTCTGATTGACCTGTGTTTCTGTCTCTGATCCTCACAGGACGGTAGGCCACGTGACTTCTTGATTGGCTGTATTGGCGTCAGCAGCAAAACCAAATGGGAGGTTTTGGATGGTGTAGTTAGACGCCTCTTCAAGGTACAGCAGAGCTGATATTTGTTCACATGCTTAGTATTTTGCTAATTAATTGAGCTTTTTGATGAACACAGAGCTACATGTCCCCTCAAGCCTTTTAATGATATTAAAAAATATACAAAAACAAGTTTAAAATTGGGTTATTTGTCTTTCTGCTTCTGCAGGAGTACATTATCCATGTGGATCCGCTCACACAGCTGGGTCTGAACTCAGACAGTGTTTTGGACTACAGTATTGGAGACGTCCACCGCACTGACAAAGCAGAGACTCCAGAGCTCCTGCCCTGCGGCTATCTTGTGGGAGACAGCAACACCATCTCCGTCAGGCTGAAAGGTAAATAGACGGAAGGGAAAATTTAAAATTTTGTATTTTTTCCTTTTCCTTTGGGCTAAGGAGATCTAATTTTTTGTATTTCTCTAATTTCACATGTTTAGTTCAAACCCAGGTCTAACACATCAGAGTCATTTTAATTCTTATTCTTATTAAGCTGTACAGAAAGATAGATCTCTAGGAGAAAGGTTAGTGACCACTGTCTCACACATTAACAGAGATTGTGTTCTGTCTCCCTCTGCAGGTGTGGCAGAGACCAGTCAAGATGAGATGGTGTTTGAGACACTCGTCCCGAAGCCCATCTTGCAGCGCTACGTCTCCCAGCTTCGAGAACACCGCCGCATCATCCTCTCCGGACCATCTGGGACGGGCAAGAGCTTCCTGGCCATGAGGCTGGCTGAACACCTGGTGCTGCTGGATGGACGGACGCTGGCTGACCGGGTCATCGCCTCCTTCAACGTGGACAACAAGTCCAGCAAGGTGATGTGAACCTGGCCAGTGAAGCCAGGCCAACACTGCGATATTAGAAATCTTGTTTTTTGGTGATAACTCGTACTGTACGTTTGAATCGCCCACTGTGTGCAGACAAAGCCTGCGATTTATATACTGACACTGTACGAAAACGCTCAGTCCAACTGATGTGACACAACATGGGTGCTCACACTGCACATGAATTGCAGCTCCTACAGACGCTCTGTCTGCAGGCAATTTCCAATAAAGCTGTTTCGTTCAAAACAACATGCTGGGCGTCTGAGTCTCAAGCAAAAACGTTGGCTGACTTTCCCTACATATATTAAAATAGGGGCTCCTGTACCCATACAGTGCATCATATGTCTAATAAATAGCCATTTGGGATTCAGGCTTGCAATTCCATACTGGACAAACAGTGCACTATTTTCATGAAGAGCAGATTTTACATACATAGGAAGGAGGGGGCCATTTGAGATTCAGCCATTGACAAACTGTGCTATAACAGCTTTGCTATCTTGTCCCATGCTGTGAAACTAAAAACCAGGTGGTCTACAGTTAGTTTTATGAAGACTGAATATTATGTATTTATGTATACCTTGCAGTTCAACTCAGTCAAATTAAGCAAAGTTGGCATATACGGACGCTGGTACTCCAGATGTCGACTTTTTTGTCTCCGTGCAGAAGCGCTGTTTGTGATTGCGTATAGTTTTGGGTACGATTTTGAGAAGTCGATTCGTGAGACTGCTCAAACTGTGGGACAGGAACTACATGAATTACATTCTGTATTGACAGGATTGAGTCATTTTTCCTTTTTGGAAAAAAACCAATGACAATAATATGGAATGTAAAGGAAGGTTTGTATTCACAGCTACATTTCAACAAATTCAAAACGAAATAAAATATCTGCTCTAATACAATTATGGTATGAATTGAAAGTTTAGAATCTCTCCACTTGCTTTAATGAGCTAAAAGTAAATGATATAAAATTATATTTTTATATCGCCATCACTAACTGCAGCTTCTAAGGGTTAGGACTACACAAACAAAAGCTAGTAGTGAAATGCTAATAAAGGCTGTGTATTTTACAGGAGCTGAAGCAGTACCTGTCTAACTTGACTGACCAGTGCAACAGCAGCATGCAGGCTGGTGAACTGCCTCTGGTCATCATTCTTGACAATCTGCACCATGTGGGCTCTCTGGGAGACATCTTTAATGGCCTGCTGAACTGCAAACACCATCGGTGGTTAGTAGCAACCCTGTAGGGACTGTGACACATGGATGTGATTTCAATTCAAATTGCTTTAGGGAACTTTTTGATAATCCTGCTCCTGACCAAACATTGCCCTGCTGTTTTTTTTTATCTGTTCCCTGTCCCAACACCTCTGATCCATCTCATGAATGTCGTGATAATCAGCTGATGAGGAATGTTGGGGCAAGAAATAGTTTCAAATGAAGGGCAGGGCATGCTTTACAGGGATACGCTGCTGTTTTGTAGACAATTGATTTTTTTTCTGCAATGAAATGATTAAATAATCCTGTTAAAGGCTTAGCACATTTCTAATTTAACATTACTAAACCAAGAACTAAGATTCTTCTATCTTATATATCTCTTAAATATCTAATAACTTTGAGAGATTGAATGCTTAAACATAATAGAAAATAAGGTCTATGTTGGTGCATTTAAATTCCATTTTTTGTTTGTAAAGTTGAGTCTTTAACACTTATCCTCTGGGTTCACTTTCACAGTCCCTATATCATTGGTACTATGAATCAAGCAACATCATCATCCCCAAATCTGCAACTTCATCACAATTTCAGGTGAGATTTCTGAGGTCTACTGTTTATAAGGCAGCAGTACTTAGTACAGTCTGATGTCCATTGTATCCCCGTCATGTTTTTATTATGTACTGTTGGATGTTTAAAAATTATAAGCCACTTTCCCTCAAGTGTCTCTGACATTATCCACAAGTGTCCACTAGAGGGCAGCAGCCCACTATGCTCTTTACGTGCATAAAGGGAGTTGTAATTTCATTGTGGCTTTATTTTGTTCAGGTGGGTGCTCTGTGCTAACCACACTGAACCAGTGAAAGGCTTCTTGGGTCGTTTCCTGCGGCGGAAGCTTCTAGAAACAGAGATCAGCAGTCGTGTGCGTAACTCTGAGCTGGTGAAGATCATAGATTGGATTCCGTCTGTTTGGCAGCATCTGAACCGCTTCCTGGAGACACACAGCTCTTCTGATGTCACCATTGGTGAGTTCATCCACAGCCACAGGGTTTGTTTGACAAAGAAAACCTACTCTGTGCTTGAAGCAGTGAAGGAAGTAGGTCTTGGGCAGTTGCATGTGGTGTTGTAGAGCTCAAGTCTGGTCCCAGTGGTGAGGCCGTAAATTAAAAGTCTTGGTCTTGTCTCGGTCTCTGCATCATTTTAACTCAGTCTTGTCTTGGTCTTGGGGTAGGTTGGGCTCACAAATTGTTCTGGAGACCAGCCGAGTGTGATGCCTCCATCTGAGATAACTGGAAACTTTTTTCTCTCATTATTGAATAGCAACAAAATCTTTAAACAGAATAAAACTCTGTATGTTTAAATAAAGTCAGTTGAGGATTTAGTTGATTATTTCCATGATGGCTTAACTGGGTATTATTCGGTTCTGTTTATTGGTTCCAAAATGTAAACATCCTCTGAGGGCAGATTAGAATGTTATTGTTAGTATATTTTCATTTAATAATAAAAATGTATGTTTGTTGTTTGGTTTATATTCATTTGATTTAGGTGGTGATTCTTTTTAAGTTAGAAGAAAAAGAGACAGAGAATAAATTCACCATCATTTGCTTCCAAAGATAAAATGCAAAGATGGACTAAAATTATAATGTGAATCATGTTTTTAAATATGTATTATTTAATGTTATATTTTACAAAATATGAAAATGTAATATTATTTAATTTATAGTATGCATATTTAATGATAATGTATGTACAATGAATTGCAAACAAATTTTAGGTTTTTCTCGTCTTATTTATTTATTTATTTTTCAATATTCTGAAAAAGTCTTAGTGTGGTTTTGTCTCAGTCCCACCACTCCTGGTCTCAGCCTTGACTCAGACTTGATGTGTTCAAGTCTTGGTTTTGATCCAGACAACACCAGTTGCACTGCCATTACTGTTGCAGAGTGCTGATTGGCTGATGAGCTGGCCTAGCTCATTGGCTGAGTAAAGCTGTTATAAATAAACATTATAAATAAAACTCTGTTACAGTGCCATATGAGTGGAGTTGAAAAGCGTTAAAACGTGACCACTGTGATGAAACATTCTTTATGTGTTGAGAAAAGCAGGACATTTATCTGTTAAATTACATTAAGAGACACTTATTAGTCCCACAACAGAGAAATTTCACCTCCACATTTTACCTATCCGTGAAGTGAAACACCACATACACACTAGTGAGCACACAAACACTAGGGGGCAGTAAGCACACTTGCCGGGGGCAGTGGGCAGCCCTATCCGCAGTGCCCGGGGAGCAGTTGGGGGTTGGGTGCCTTGCTCAGGGACACCACAGTCACGTGCTGTCGGCTTTGGGGATCGAACCGGCAACCTTCCTGTTGCACAGAAGCTCTATAGGCCTGCATCACCCTCACTCCTTCCCTATTTATGACATCCTCTCCAGGGCCACGCCTCTTCCTGTCCTGTCCTATGGATGTGGAGGGCTCTCAGGTATGGTTCACAGACCTATGGAACTACTCCATCATCCCATACCTGCTGGAGGCTGTGCGGGAAGGCTTGCAGGTAAGCACTGGCAGCGCAAACTTAATCTTCACAGTTCTAGTATCTTCCATTCAGTCATCAGTTTAGTTCCAGTCCACCTATTATCTACTGTCTATTTGGATAGATAAGATTTGATGTTTATATTTTTGTGTAGTTTATATAAATGTGAACAGGTGTTTAACTGGGTCACTCTCTCCACTGTTTTCACTGCAAGAGAATGCAAGCATACGCAGGGCTCACAACATGGGCCTGACCAGCCCTCTTAAAGCGATAGTTCAGTAGATAAATTAAATTTACACAAAAGTATGTTGCATAGCTAAAAACAGTATCAGCAATTTTACAAAATCCTCACTACACAGCTTTATGAATGAATCCTGCCATGTGTGTGTTTCAGCTGTACGGCAGAAAGGCGTCGTGGGAGGATCCAGCTTGTTGGGTGATGGAGAGTTACCCCTGGGCCTCCAGCCCCCAGCAACACCAGTGGCCCCCTCTGCTTCAGCTACGGCCTGAGGACGTTGGCTTCGATGGTTATGCCCTCGCCCGAGAGAACTGCCCGGGCAAGCAGGCCACACAGGATGGCTCAGAGGGAGACCCACTGGTGAGGTTACAGCCAATCTCGTAATGTTAGACCTCCTTTAATATGTCCTTTTGTATGACCAAATATAATATTTTTGCCTCATTTGTTTAATTTGGTTCTCTTTATCTACTATTAGGACTTGTGTGAAAATCTGATGAAGTTTTAGGTCAAATTTATGCAGAAATATAGAAAATTCTAAAGGGTTCACAAACTTTCAAGCACCACTGTATTATAATATGATGCATTATATTGATTCATGTTACATGAGTACATATTGTGTTATACGTATCTTTAACTAGATATTTGAGATGTATGACAGATATATTATATTCCATACTGATTGCTGTTACTAAATGACTAGAAACAGCTGTATTTTATGGTTGAATGCAGTGTCATGGTTGCTTGCCCTCTTTCAGCCATCATTTGACCTTTTGACCTCTCCTCATCATCATAGATGAATATGCTAATGAGGCTAAAGGAGGCAGCCCACTGCACCGGCCCGTCGAGCTACGACAGCGACTCCAACAGCAACAGTAACCATGACGAAATCCTGGACCCTTCGCTGGAGTCTGCGCTGTGAACTTCAGGCCCGTCAGACTACGGATCATCTTTATTCACAAACATCAAAAGGGTTTTCTGACTGGAACACAGGGAGCCGGTAACTCTGAAGAGAAGAGCCGTTGGTCTACAGAATCCGCAGAAAGCAGAGGGGGTCATGAAAGCATCATGACAGACATATAAGAGAGACATTTGTGCCCTAATCTCTATAAAACTAAAGCTACGTTCACATTACAAGCCTCATTGCTCAAATCCGATTTTTTGCTCAAATCCGATCTCTGTGACTCTATGGTTCACGCTCGTTTAGGTAAGTGATTCAAATCTGTCATTAATGTGAACGAACCGGCGTCCTGAAATGAGCCTCATGAGCACATCCTACTCAGTAACGTCACGTGAATCATCAGCACAAGCTAACAAGCAGAACGAGCTTCGCTGAGAAGATAATTAACTCTGATCAGCTCCCAGCTTCATTATTAAAACGAGACGTAGGCGGAAAAGATGAGATGTGTTTCTTTTCCACCGTTTACAGGCTTTAACTTCTGTGTGGCGCTGCTGCCATGGTAACGCTGAATGACACGCAGTGGAAAAAAAAGCACATGAATTCCGATCTGAGTGTCACATTAAGGCGGCATGGCCACAAATCGGATACGTATCCGATCTAGGACCACATATGAAAGTGACTCATCCGGATTTGAAAAGATCAGATTTGTGTGTCCACACAGCCCTGAAAACATCAGATCTGAGTCACATTAGGAAAGAATTTGAATTTGTGCCACTTCAACCTGCTAATGTGAACGTAGCCTAAAGCAACATCAAACAAAACCTGGAAACGCAGGATTTGCATGTTTTGCGAAACAGCACAAAATGTAAGCGGGCGGGATTTTTTGTTTAGTTTCAGCCAAATCTTTAGTCTCCACATCCCATTTATGCACAGTCCAGTATTCAGCTCTACTTGAACTTTGCTGAAGCGTTCCCATTCACAATAGAGGGTTCTGCTTTAATTGTAATTCAGAGACATGAGCAGTAGATGTCGCTATAGCTGTGTTTAATGACCTTGGGAAGCTTTCTCAGTGCAGCTTTACACTGTAGTGCCCTTTATCGCAGGACGCCTCTGTGTTCTGTCTCTGATTCAGTGCGAGCAAATGCCTTTATCTTTTGCTCACTGACAGTAACATTGATTTTACATATTTCAAAACATTTTTGTGAATTTATTTTCAGACTACACTAAACAAGAAACTCAGAGACCTCAGAATCAGAGTCGTGACATTTCAAGCAGCATTTTCCATGAGTTTTCCATCAGCTCCGTGCTAAGGAAGATCTTCTGTGGTGCTACTCTCACCTTACAAATGCCTTACTATGTTTGTACCGACGGTAGTAATCTCATATGCTGTAACACCACCAAATTGATGCCTTTAAGTGGTCCACGGTTCTGGAGTGCAGTGGTGTGTGTAGCGATCATGGTTGAGGTTCATGGCTGAGTGGAAGGCTTTTTACAGTCAAACCCAATACGCTCATCTTGGGGAAAAAGAACTAGTTTTGTGTATTTGATGCAGCTTTACTTGAGGTGACTGGAATCGCTTTGTGTTTACATGTGAAGCAAAAACAGACAAGAAGTTGGGTGTAACTTTATACCTCTTTACGCAGGAAAATCCAACCTGCTCACTACAGCTAGTGAACAAGTCACATCTACTTAATAGCTGCATCATAGTGGTATTATTGTCTTGAGAAGTGGCAGATACACCTAAACACTCTCTTCAAACAGCCTACTGTTTTCTTGCTCTCTACAGTCTCACAGCAGATTTGTTACAAACAGCACAGTGTTATTTTTTAACACGTCTTACTCGTGTCCAGTGAAGATAACACGTTTTATTTCTCTGAACACAATCAGTGTGGTATTTTATTTAAGAGAGGCAGTTTGTGTTCAGATTTTGAGCATGAAGTTGTATTTACACAGTCTGTGGCAGGGAAATTCTGTGTTCATTGGCCTAAATGGACCACAACAATCTTAAATCTTGGAAATTCACATGTACTTTAATTCAGTTTATCAGTTTATTCCATTTCTTGTGAAGCACACATAACATCATGTTTTAAGTGTTGAAGGGGAACTCCACTGACTTTTCAAAAATTTCAGCTATATTCAGTGGTTGAGCTGTAAGTGATTTTGATGTGAAATGGTTCATTATAGAGAAACTTACCGACTCAAATTTTGGTGTTGATTAGAACCAGGGGCTGGATTCACGAAAGCTTTCTTAAGAAAAAAACTTGTGAAGGTTCTTAAGACAAACACTAAGAAGTTGATAAGACTGGGCCTCATTCATCAACATCTTCCTAAGTTTTTTCTCAAAGTTGTTGTTGAGAAAAGTCAGAAGAAAAAGTCAACGTCAGATTCATGACGTGCTCTTAAACCGCAGAGCTGTTCACACCTTTGTGCTCTTGATTGTGTGTAAATTCTGTTATTACTTAAGATCAAATCCCAAAAAAGAAAACATTGGTGAATGTCAGAATCTTCATAAGTGGGTTTTAAGAAGAAATTTCTTAAGAACGGTTGGTTCTCAAATATTCTCTTAATTATTTTCTTAAGATATTCTTAAGAAATTCTTCATTGTTTTCTTATGTATGTTTGAATTTGTATTAACTGTTATTATAGTTATTTAGTTTAATCCTCTCAGAGGAGCAAAATGGAAGAAAAACATCAAACCAAGTGTTTTAAAAAAAATAGCAGACAATAATTAGAGGTGATGGTGGAAGAAACAGCCAACGGAGAAAAAAATCCTCATTGGAAAATCTGATAATTGTGGGGTGATGGACGAGGATGGGGATGAGTAGCAGAGGCAGCGTCCATGATAAATTTAGATGCTCACCTTGTCAACTCTTACAGACAAGTGTGAGGCTGAATGAAAGCGTTTAAGAACATATTTTCAAGAATATTTCCACTTGTTTTTAGAGTTATTCTTAAGAAAATACTTAATTCTAAAGAAGTTATTTGAAGAATAAAAATTTCTTCTTTTTTTTTTTTTAATAAATGAGAATGAGAAAGCTCATAAGAAGATTTTCTTTCTTAAGACACTTTGGTGAATCCAGCGCCAAGAGTTATAAGTGTCTACAATGCGAATGAGTCCATTTTATTTACTATCCAAAACTAACAGTGAACCTACACACGACGGGTTTTATATGTAATGATGATGATGCTAAAATAGTGCTACATCTAAAACGCAAGGGGACTATTTTGCCTCACAACACCCTGCATGTACATCATGCATGAAGGGATTTTCAAGAAACGTTTTAGACCAAAAGTTTATGTCAGAACTATCAAAGAACATCGTCTCAGGCGTGAGGCAGACAGTGTATTCATAACCATCTTATGTAGTAACTTTCTGTGAGGGAGCTTTTAGAGGTGGACGTCTGGTTCCTATCACCACCACTGTGAAGAATTCTGAGTCGGCAGGTTTCTGTCCACTCTGAATGACCTTGTTTACCTTTTAACCACTTAATTATGCAGAAATTTAGAAGCATCAGTGGAATTCAGCCTTAAAATATCTAACACATCATTTGAAAGTGTAGTATAAATCTGAATCTCTGTCCCAGAAAGCTTTCTCTGGTGTACTTCTGTTAGATTTGTGTACGTGATATGGACAGAATATGAGTATTGCAATTATATTGCAATTGCGAAATGCCTTGCAATATATTAAGTACAAAATAGTGCATCAATAATGTGACATGGGTGAAGAATAGCCTGTATTATTCTGACCAAAACAATGTACTTTTTTAGATTATGTGAATACTGGATTCATCAAAACACCCACAGGAACTCATGTGGAGTTCATAGCACACAGTAAAAGCAGTGATTGATTAGAGACTCATTTGCAAATCACAGTTTTTGACAATATAAATGTTGTCCAATATCGCAATAACAGCAGATCGTGCAGCCCTAACTCACAGCCAGTCCCTCAGTGATGTGAGTCTCCTGGAGAGCCTGATTGTGCGAGTTGATTACTGTTACTGGAGGCGCAAAGACTTTTATTTTGAGAGACGGTTTTGTTTCTCTGCACACAGACGCCGAAGCACTTCCACACACAAACACACTCAGCAGACTCCGGCGCTCTCATCGGCCGGAGTGATGTGCTTTACTCTGAACAGAGGGCTAGCGTGCCTAGTGGCCCGCTCAGGAGCATTATCCCGCCGTCCATTTTCACATGGCGTGAATGGAGTACTCAGTATTGCTTTGTTTGGACGAGCGCACTTTGTTCACTCGTGAAATGAAGAGTTTTTCAAGCTTTCGCTTTCAAATGACGCACGACTTCGGACTCCCTCACAATGTTGGGATTTTCTCAACAGTCCTTTAGAATAAAGAGACACTATGCAATATTTCTTTGTTTCTATTGTAAAAAGACAAGAGTCTGTGTTGTTGAGCACAACATTTTGTGAATTATTCTCTTGTATGTTTTTGTTTTACATATTTGGAGTTTGTAAATAGTAAGTTTAGATGAATTTAATGCCAGAAGAGGAAAAAGAGAATAGTACGCTCACAGAAGCGTCCATGTGAAATATCTTGTAATGCTAATGTGAACAGAGTTGTAATGTTGATTCCTGGATGAGAAAAATGTTCTATGTATATTTTCAGTTGTACCATACGTTTGTAAATATACCTCAAGCCAGAAATTGGAGATTTTGTTTTCTAACAGCTCTTTAAGAGAAATAGAGTGAACCATTCATGTACAGCTCGTTTTCCTACCACCTGTAGATTCTGTTTTATTTTTCCAACAATGATTTGTGACTCCTTTGAGAATAAATGTGATGAGTCTAGTATCAGACTGATTTGTTCATTATTTGCTGACATTTTAGCTTCTTTGTGTTTTTGGTTATGGCTTTGGTTATTATGTTATGGCTACATAATCTTTGAGATCAAGTCATTCAGAGCAGTTTGGTGTGAAATGGTTCATCATAGAGAAACTCATACTCAGATTTCTTTACAGTGGTGGTGATAGAAACCAGGGGTCTCCATGACTACAACACAAATATATAATCATATTAAAATATGATTTAGACCAAAACCTTCTCAAAACAGTGTCTCAGACATCAGGCAGCGTATTCATGATCATTTCATGTAATAACTTTCTGTGAGGGAGCTTTTAGAGGTGGGCATCTGGTTCCTATCACCACCACTATGAACAATTCTGCCTCTAAGTTTCTCTAGAACAGAGCGTTTCACACCAAACCACTCTGAATGACTCTGTTAACATCTTAACCACTAAATTATTCAGATATTTTGGAGAATTTGTGGAATTATACTTTATCAGGACTTGTTGTGGTGAAATGTCTGAAGTGTGACTGAAGTAAACCTGTTTTTTTTGTCTATCCTGTTGAACATCTCTGGGTCTGAATGCAGATCCATGATCATTTTCTATATATTTCATGTTCATTAGGAGGTCATGGACAGCAAGTGATCCTAGACTTGCATTAACTCACAACTTAATTCTTGATTTGTCACTTAAACAAGTAAAATCATTGTATGAACTCAGAGACTTTCTAACAGCAACATCCATCAACCAGCAGAGCTGCTCATTTCTAACCCAGGTTAAATGAGCATTGCTTGCTTTTTGTAAGAACACTCTTAATATCCTGCGTGATTTTTATGCTCCCTCTTTGTTCTGACCACTCTGATTTGTCTCAGAAATGCATAGAAATGTTGAACAGGAAGGTGCATGATTTTTTTTTTATTTAATAATAATTCAATATTCTTCCTGGGATTAAGCTTTGGGCTGAATCAAAATACTTGAGTAATTTGAGAGACACACAAAAACAAACTTTGTTTTCCCATTTGGATTTTAATATGTAAAAATATTTATTTTTCAAGTATATACATTTTCATCTTAAAAAAAACAACATAGAAAATAATATATGACTTTTAAGTTATACATTTAGCATCTACATATTTTAGATTAAACGTGGAAAATCTAACAGCGGGAAAGGCAAGAATCTTGATAGGCTATAAAACATTCCATAAAAGCGTTCAAAAATATTTATACAAAATAGTGTACAAACATTTAAGGCTGCAAAAAAAGCAGCAAAGGCCGCAGTGTGGGCCATTCCTTTGACTCAGCAACCTGAAGGCTCAAAGCTGAGCTGCCTCAATGTCTTTTTCCTAACAGCACGTTCAACTCTTACAACTTATCGTGCTAGAAAACTTAAGTAAGTAGCTAAGTAGTACTTAGAGAAGCAGCTAATTAATAGCTACTCAAAGAAACGTGGCCTGCGTCCGAAACCGCATACTAGTCTAAGCAGTGCGCCACAATGGTAGCGTCCTTGAATAATAGTCAGGCAAAAAGCACCTGGGTGGCGCTACATCCATAGTGCACTATGAAGTGTGAAAGCTGAAACTGACCAGATGAAGTTGACCTTAATGTATAGCTGGTGAGAGAGCCCTTTAAAACTGACTTATTACATAACATAACAGCAGTTATTCAATAGTAGTATCAACACTTACATTCCGTTCAGGCTCACTGGCGGCTCCTGTTCAGCATCTAAACTGAATATTCTGAATGAAGTGTCTCTATCAGCGATTTGGGACGCAGTGATGTGTGTGTGGTTATGATACAGTGATCTCTTCGTCCTCTGAGTCCTCTGAGTCTGTGTGTTTGCTGCTGTAGGGTGATGGGGGCAAGTCTGATCCCTCCGCCTGAGGACTCGCCATGATCTCCCCACCGTGGTTCTCTCGCGCCCCGCCCACATCGCTCAGGTCCGGGTTGGGGTTGGCCTTCGTGGGCAGAGTTTGTTCCCGGCAGCCCCCGGAGGACAGCAGCTCCCTCTCTTTGGAGTTCCTCCATTTCATCCTGCGGTTCTGGAACCATATTTTCACCTGCAGAGGGACAAGAAACGTTATAGCATAACTGCTGAGGCCGAATCGTTTGGATCATTCACCAAAACCCTGATAGTCGTAGCTACACCAACTCTTTCAACCGTTAACCATAAACATGTTTTAAGATATAAGAGGCATTTTACAATATATTCCTGCAACGTATCGTCGCTGTCAGAACAAAATCATGCATGTGCATTTTTGTTATTGTCTTATTTTATTACATAATTCCGGAAACATTAGCCGCCCTTAGCATTGACTGAACAATTTATGATGGATAAATCAACAGAAATGGTTCAAAATTGCTTGGAAGAGAATCTTTGCATTAATTTCCATTAAAAATCACAAGTTTTTTCCTTCCTGTGTACAGCTACCATTTTGGAAGTACTAAAACTCTCCTCAGGGACTTTTATTCTGTTTTTCTGTCTAGGTCTGTCTAGCTGTCTGTCAAGCACTTTGCTGCAGATGAAGAATTTCCAGGGCATCCATTTCTTAAGCAAAGTGTATCACACCAATATCTATCCATCTATCCATCCATCCATCCATCCAGTTTAAGGGCCTATACCATTGCTTGCTGTCCCTCTGGCCTGTTTGGCCTACACCAATATTTCTGGTCCTGGAGGCCCACTGCCCTGCATTTTTAGTGCTTTCCCTGCTCCCAAAACACCTGATCCAACTAATCAGCTCATTAACAGCCCATTACTGGGTTAAAGTGGGCATGTTAAAGCAGGAAAAGTACTAAAATATTCAGGACAGTGCGCCTCCAGGACCAGGGCTGAGAAACACTGGCCTACACCACTGCACACCACTGACATTTACCTGTGAGTCTTTCAGGCCGAGTTTGGTAGCCAGCTTCTTTCTGTCCGGTTTGCTGATGTACTTCTGTTTCTGAAACATTCTTTCCAGGGCTTTGCGCTGCACGTCCGAGAAGACGGCCCTCCTCAGCATCCCTCTCCTTGGCTTTCCCCTAGCGGTCAGCGGCCACGAGAAGGTCCCGGGGATAGGAACCACTGAGGTCGGCGCTGTTAAAAAAGAGGACAAAAAAGTAAGGCCAGTGTCTGAGACAGAGACCGGGCACATCCCAGAGCAGATTCTTGGCTGCACTAACGTTATTGAATGTGAGGCGTTTGAGTGCAGCAGCTAGCCTAGGCTAATTAGCACATTGCTTGGCTCCCAGAAGCATTGGTATGGTAAAAAGGCCCAGCAGCCATTCAGCGGAAGATAGAAGTGCTAATGAAGCGTGGACGGTAATTGTGTAGTAATGAACTAACTGAAAAAAGGCTCAAGACAGGCCACTAAAGCCATATATTACGGCAACAAAAGGGATTTACACTTCGAAACTAAACGCAACTGCAGGCCAAGATCATTTGAAGAATACTGATGGTGGGGATCTATTTCTCTCTTTTTTTTCGCCTCCAAATTATTTTCATTAAGTGAACACGAAAAGCTGTTGCTGAGGTTTAGTGAAAAGAAGCAGTCCATTATGGTCTTCCTGAATAAGAGCGCAGTATTCAGAGCTGTTCTCGAGGGCTGTTTGTATCGGGTAGAGCTGGAGGGTAGACCTATATTGAAGGGTCTAGATCTGCTTTATTGAGAGTTTCTCCAGTTTAAATTTTGCACACTTGATCCAGTTAATCAAGGGCTTCTGAAGGCGATAATTAGATGGGATCAGTGGTGGTGGATTGGGGTTGGAGCTAATATTTGTAGGAGGGTGGACGTCCACCCTGGTGCTATGTAGGGCAGGGATGCCTAAACGTTTTATCTTGGGGGCCAAAATGCTGAGGGACCAAGAAAACTAAAGCAATATGCAAATAAATAAGGTAGGTAGGTTTTTACACTATAGATTACATAAAATTTTCTCTCTAAAATGCTTCAAATATACCAGCTTTAAAGGAAAATAAGATTTTTTAAGTCGTATGTTGCAAAAAAATGTGTTTCTTTTCATTAAGGGTAACTTTCTGGCAGACGAAATGAAACTTTTAGCCCTTATGTTGGGGTTTTTGTCCTTAACCAGTGGCCACCAACCTTAAACCACTACATCTGCCTTCATTAGGAGTTCAGTTCTAACCATATCTACTCTACTCTGATCCAGTCTACCTGATTAGCTGGAGAAGTAGTGCTGAATTTGGGTTTGGAACTGAATAATTCTGGATGTGACAATTAGGCCCACATTTGAGGACTGAATTCCTCAGTAAAATGACCTTTTTTACTTTTCTACCAGTCTGCATGTACGTGGCCTCTCCCTCTGTTTTGCATTCAGGCTCTAGGCATGTCCCATTGGCGTCCCGCGAAGGCACACCGCTATGGTCTTGGGAGAATATTGAAACACTGAATAGCTGCTAATAGGGGAATTAGTCCATGACTGGTAAATGCCTATGAGCGGCACGCTGAAGTCAACACCGGGTGTGTGCGTGTGTGTGTGTGGCTGCCCGGAGGGAGCTGACCAAATTGGTCATGGTGCTTGAAAAGCATTGTTGGCAATCACTCGCTAAAGTGCACTGGCTCGGTGGGAAAAGGAGGCCGTGAAGAGATGCCAGCGGCTTTTCTTGTGAGAAGGGGACCCGCCTCAAATTTGGACCATGACGATCCAAATTAGCCGTAATTTGTAGATTAGGAGGACAAAAAACGTGAGCAGTCACTGCCCCTCGCTAAACAGGGCCGTCAAATTGGCCAGACAGTCCAACAGTGGACCCCAGTTCATTTGTCACATGTGCGCTCTAGCTTACTTCCACTGTTCCACTGTTTATTGACCTTTTTACTGTCCAGCGCCTCTTTGCTTTGGGAAGTTGTTGTCTTGAGCTTCATGATGAAGGATTTCTATTATGATACACAATAAAGTTTCTGAATCTGAGACTGATCTTATGATATTCTGTAAAAATTTCCAACGTTTGACATCAAATAATTAAAATCAAATCAAATAATGTGAATAAAAAATTGAGAAAGTGAATAAATTCAAAATTTGGTTTGTAGGAGGGAGAACGTCCAGAGTTGGGGACCATGGTTCTATGTAGGGTGCCTGAACTTTTTGTCTTGGGGGGCCAAAATGCAGAGGGACAAAAAAACAAAACAATATACAAATAAGGAAGGTAGGTAGGTTTTGACGCTATACATTACACTATATTTTCTCTCTAAAATGCTTCAAATATAGTGCAATAATTAGATGGGATCAGTGGTGGTGGATTGAGGTTGGAGCTAAAGTTTGTAGCAGGATAGATGTTTAGAGTTGGGGACCACGGTACTATGTAGGGCCGGGGTGCCTAAACTTTTAGTCTTGGGGGGCCAAAATGCAGAGGGGCAAAAAAAAACAATATACAAATAAAGGTTTTTACTTTATACAGTACACTATATTTTTTCTCTTAAATGCTTCACATATACCAGCTTTGAAGGAAAATAAGTGTTTTTAAGTCACATGTAGCATAAAAATGTGTTTCTTTTCACTGAGGGTAACTTTCTGGCTGGGAAATGAAATTTTGGCCTGCATGCCACATTTCGGGCAGCGCTCAGGCTGGGGTTTCTTAACCAGTGGCCACCAACCTTAAACCACTACATTTGCCTTTGTTAAGAATTGAAATCAATAAAAAATTCAAAACAAATGAATAAAATCAAATTAAAAGATAAAGGATGTGGTGACCCACCTGGGAAATAAGAAGTCCTGATGAATGGATGGAATGAGGAATGGAAGTAAGGGAAGGGGAATTCTTTGGCCATGCCATGGATTGCAGGTGGAGACGGTGCTGTTTGACAAAATAAATGCAGAAATGATGAGAAACTGTAAGTTAAGATTACATCTCACATTTAGTGCAGCATCAGCTACGGTGCTGAAGTGACACATTGCAGTCCAGATGAAACATGGAACATGGTGAGGGTGAACCAGAGCGCTGGAGATTTCTCTGTGGCGCCCCAATTTCTGTATTAATCACAAAAATTTGAGCATATTTTTGTTGCTGCAGTGTGTAGATAAATGAACATGAATATGTAAGTTATGAGGTTCCTCAACCTCCCATATATAAATCAGCATAAATATGCAATCCATTGTATAAATAACTACACAATGTTCTTCCATATATATAAATATAAACATAAATATGCAGTCATTGACTTTTTACATGAACATAAACAAACAATAACATTAATTATATAAACGGACAGTTAATTGCATTCATCAACATATAACTACACAGATTAAAAATAACATATACACACTTAAAAAAGACGGTTCCACAAGGGTTCTTTAGTAAAGGCAATGGTTAGAACCACTTGTATGCTTAAATGGTTCTCTGCATGGTGAAATGGTTCTTCAGATAGATGGAGAATGTGTTGTGTATGGTTCTATATAGCACCAAAAAGGGTTCTGCTGTTGTTACAAGCTTGACATTGTAACAATAGCAGAACCCTTTCTGGTGCTATATAGAACCATTTTAAAAAGGTTCTATGTAGAACCATATACAAAACATTTTCCATCAATCTGAAGAACCTTTCACCATGCATAGAACCCAGCTCTTTGAGTGTTCGTGGTTCTTTTTTTGCAAGAAAAAAGGGTTCTGTTATTGTTATGATATCAAGCTTGGAGTAACAAAGGAACCCTTTTTTGGTGCTGTACAGAACCCTGTACACATTCCCCTTCACCATGCAGAGAACCATTTAAGCGTGCAAATGGTTCTATATAGAACTCATGGTTCTATGTAAAGCCTTTCCCTTCACTTAAGAACCCTTGAAGAACCGTCATAATATCTAGGCTGATAATTGTTCGATACAAAGACTTTAAATCAATATAAATACTCAGCTATCACGGCTGCGCGTGACATCAGCAACTTTCACACCAATTTTCACAAACAAACAAACAAACAAATCCGATTTCTTACCGTTTCTGGTTGAAGGCGCCAGTATGGCGTTCACTCCAAACTTTAGGTAGCCCTGCTCGCCCGCGCGCGGGGAGCCGCTGCATTTGGGCGCCGGGGGAGAGTGGCTGTGGGCGGGGTTGAGGGGGCTCAGGCTGGTGGCCCCCGGAGCCGGCGGAGAGGCCCTGGGCCCCGGAGCCGAGCCGGTGCAGCCGGAGGGCGGAGAGATGCGCAGGAGCTCCTCCATCAGAAAGGAAGGGGCGGCCCGGGGCGCGCGCAGAGCCGGGCACAGCACACACGGAGCGAGCACGCTGGGCAGCAT